CCACATTTTCATTCACAGAATTCTCTCAACAGAAGGTTATAACCATGTGTCGGCTTCATCCATGGCCAGAGTAATAACCCTTTATGGGGCAAAAATTAGCTCTCACTCAATGCACCCTTGTGTATAGAAGTTCTCTGCTGGAATTGAAGTCCTGCAGTGACGTTGCCATCCTCCTGTGGCAACAAATGCCACAATAAATGTAGTTGTACTGGGTTATGAATCAGTTTCTGGACAGGGCCTTTGACCACCTGTTTGACCTGAGCTTTAAAGGTATACTATGCAGGAATTGTCAGCTAATGTTTGTAAACAGTATCGCCAGTGAAGGTGAAAGCCAATCCCAGTTCAGTCAGGACCATTTTAAGCTGAACACAGCCGCAGCACAGCACAGGTGGTGCCACTATAGCACACACAGGATGCATCGCACTGCAGCTTGTCAACAGACAACCACGAAAAGTTATTACTACTCTTACTCCAAGATTTATTCTTATTTCACCTGTGCATTAGCTTAAAATCATGTGTGGAGAGCCCCTAATTAAACTTGAGCCGCTCTCCAGAGCCAGGCAGTATCTTTTTGGCCATTGTCTTTATAATAAAGGGATTGTGGGTCATTTAGCTGGGGATATTTCTCAACCTCAACGAGTCTCTCCTCATCCATTCTTCGTCACACATAAGACAACAACAGCTACAGAGTTCTCTTTGGTTGGATGGATCTTAAATGTTTTTTAGTCACATTACCACTATAGATTCAGGTGTTGGCGCTACACATGACACCCTCTGCAGGATCCTTCTGCAGGTTCATTTACAGAAGCCTTGTCACGACTCTTCATCCTCTAGACAGTACAGTTTGATCGTCTTTTCAATGCTCCGCCAGGGCTGTGACCGACCCTGGAGGGACTGATCCGAGGACCTCACTAAACCATCCAATTGGTAGTAGTGACAGTCAGTGTGTACAAAGGGCAGGGACTTAAGCAAGGCAAGCATATGACCCACAATTACTGGGAATTTCTCGTTCATGCAATCAAATAACTGCAATCCCCAATCCCACCGCACGCCACCCTATGTTTATTTTGAACTGACACCAGTGTGTTTACTTGGAAAAAGTATACTTTCACTCTTGGTGTGTATTTCCATCGCAAGTTTGGTCTGAAATTTAAATGAAAGTGATATTAAAATTGTATTAAAAAGTCCTGCACTTCAGTTGCGTTTATCTGTAGACACCCGGGTAGCATGTTGTAACCCAGAAACAAATGTCTGTTAGCAGCTTGTAGGATCCTTGTAGTTTAAACTGACACTTAGGCTGTTTGTAGCATCTAGTCTGAGGGTTCTCACTGGTTTTAATATGCAATTTGACACGTTGCTGTGTGAGAATGCTGGCAGTCTCTCTAGTCGTCTGGGCTCTAATAGCCATCCCTGTCTGTCTTCACCAGGGCTCAAAATGAGCATCCCCAGTCTGTGTCTGAACTGTATATTTTAGTCCTGTTACACTGCAGCTAACTTGTCGACTCATGTTGTATAATAGAGTTTTGACCTGACGCAAAGCTGAGGCAGTCTGAGGCTTGAACAGAGCTGGCTCCACTTAGTCCTGCGAGGGGGGAATTAGAGGGACCTGTGGTAACTGTGGTCTGGCCTGGAGCCCGGCTGGTGGAGGAAAGTTTGGAAAAGGATGCCTCCTACTGGGTGAAATGCGTAATGGACGCATGGCTCCAGGTGCAGGGCCTTCTCAGTTATAGTGGTATTTCTGTGTAATGCTTTGTGTTTGCACTACACGGGTGGAGTTTCCACATCAAAACAAGTCTGATAATATGACGGCAATTTTCCATGTCTAGTTGGTGTTGACATACTTTCCCTTGATTGCCTTAAAATATCTGGTCCTCATTATGTGGGGCTCTGTGGCCAGATGCAACAGCATAATACTTAAATAGGCCTGATGAAGCCATCTTGTTTGCACAGTTTGACCCAGATCATCAGCATAAAGCATCCAAATTTCAACATCTGCTTGGATGGTTGAGGAGGCTCTGAATCCCTGGGAGTGTTTTAAAATGTGGAATGAGGGAATGTGGAAAAGGCTGAAAAAAACAAAACAACATGAAAGCAATTAGCTGCTAGAAGTCTTCGTGCAACTGAGCAGTTTTTCAGCTCGGTTTTTAAGGAGTCATTTTGGAGAGTGGATTGCATATAACCGTGCTGATTAAGGATTCACATATGTTTCAGTACTCTATACAAGAAGTGCTCAAACTGTGAGTGGGAGAGTTGGAGGGGGGCTGCGAAGCTGGAGGCAAATATGCCGCATGAGGTGAAAGGGACAGGTCCCTGCAGATGTGCTAAAAACAACAGGAAGTTAGTTATTGTTTGTATATTTGTTTGAGCCCACTGATTTGGCAGAAGAGTCATTAGTTCCAGCAGCAGCAGAGGGTGGGACACGCTGCTCATGGAGGCAATTAAATTGATGCAATTTGTGTCAAAATCACAGTCTTCCTCTAACTCAGTCAAACCTGAGCACGTAATATTTTCAGATTCAGATGACTCACACCTCCCAGGTCATTATATTCTTGGAAAAGTTATGAAATTAGAAAAATAGTTTTCCAGGCCTGGCAATGGATCCGAATGAACAAAATGTTTTGGAAAAGCTTTGAGTATGCATTGTTTTGGCTATTGTTTAAAATATGTTCATAAAAATCCTAAAACATTTCTAATGTCATGGGAAGTACTTTGCCTGTCAAGTGCTGCGTTAAATGAACGTTGAAATGTCACTAGTATCATGTGATCCATATTGGCATATGGAAAGCGTAGGCGGCAGGAATATCTAACGAGTTGGAAAAATTAGCAAGCAATAGCAGTTTGTTTATTTGCAAATGCCTGAAAAGTGTGTGTTTAACAACGCATGGCTTTCAAACAAAAGAATATCAGTTCAGTTTAGGACTAGATGTTACAATCCCTCAGTGAATATATTTGAGACTATGAGTGGAAATATTAGTGCCGTCTGGGGGTTTAAGAGTGGAAGCAAAAGGGTTAAGGGCAGATGGATAGAAAAGTAGGAAAGAGCGAAGGTAGATAGAAAAGTGAGGAGCATAGGGAAGGCAGAGCCAAGGAGAGACGTCTGTGCAGACTGAGAGAAGAAACTAACAGGAGAAAAACGTACTTAACTTTAATCGAGGTGGAGTTTAACTGGACGATTGTTGTTGACCTACTTGCGATTGAGAGTGGAAGTTGGAGCCATTCAGGGGGAGGGGGTGGGGGTTTAGGGAGGGTAAAAGCTTTTTTGGGGTCACCAGGTGGGTACCATCCTTCACTGGTGTTTCGATGATAGGCCAACAACACCTCCAGAAGGCTCATTGGCATCATTTGGTATCCCAGGTGCCCTTCCCCCTCTGCTTTTACTCCCTCGAACTCTGATGTTGTTAGTGGTATTTCGTGGCCCAAGTGGCCTGAAATTCCCATTTCTTTAAGCAGCCTAGTAGTTGACTTGCCTGCAAAGTGACTGCAGCCCACTCCAACTGGGCAAACCTTTGCTTTCCAGCTGCATTGCTTAGCGTCGGCTGCCAGCTTGGTGTACTTAAGGGTCTTGCACTCCCAGGGTACAGTGAGCTCAATGAGGTAGATGAGGTGCAGTGAAAAAGGCGAAAGCACAGCGTCTGGTTTGAGGTTAGTACAGGCGTGGTTCAAGAGAGGCAGACCCTAGCTGGCTGGATGTAGGCAACCTGGAGGAAATGGTTCTGGTCTGCCATACTGAAGGGAAAAAACTTAAAGACAACCAAAAAGATGATAAGCTGAAGACACCGATGTGGATAATTCAGCCTCTAGTAAAAACCTCCTGAACAATGAACACTGAAAGAATTCTAATCAGCCGAAGTTTCAGCTGCTGCTTGCAATATGCAATCCTCACCACTAGATGCCACTAACTTCCTCCAAATCTTGCACACTGCTCATCTAAATGAAGTCATGATAATGGGGTGTAATATTGTGAAAAATTTTGAGAAAGTTTTGAGAATTCATTGGTTAGAAATGTGCTGAAACCCTGGACGTCATTGTCTCCAATGCATCCAGAAATTACCAAAGAATTATAATGTTTTTACCTTTTTCTGCAGTATCAAAATAATGCAGTGATTTTTTTGTTCACCCATGGATATTTCGTGAACAAGAACTGTTAAAAGTTATTTCGGCATTTTGTTAATTAATGGCTCCAATTTGCCAAAATGTAAACAAGTATAGGTAAAAAAAAAAAAAAAAAAGGTGTAGCCCACAGCTAACAAACTGACCCCATGCCATACTTCCTGTTCACAGTCTACTTTTATTCCACAAACAGAAATGAATGTCAAGGCCATTGGGCAGCCAACCACAAGAGCTTCTGGTATGCTTTGTGAGGTTGGTATCAAAGATTGTGAAACACATTCCAGATCAGTTTCAGTCCTCAAATAGTTGTGGGCCAAAAGTAAATACAGTTAGTTCAAAGATCCAGCGCTGTCATGATTAGACGTACTGTCATTTCAGCTGTCTGCTCTGATGACTAATTAGTGCTACATGACAGTCCTTATCTCTGTCAGCCTGGAAACAGTCCCGCCTGAAATGGGAGATACAATCTGTCAAGCCTTCCTGTCCAGATTTATACAGATGTTTACACGCAGCTGGGCTGTTTATAACAGAAATTGCATCTTCAGTCAGGACACATTGGGCAAAGAGTTGAGTGAGGATCTCTGCAGCTCGAAGGAATATTTAGTTTCACTCTGGATTTTGATGTGGGTCTTTTTTCTTTTTTTTTTGACAATGCGTTGTCTCCACGTTTCCTGCTTATAGGAAATAAGTCTTACACACAGGAAAAATGACTAACGGTTATCCTGCCCCTTTGTTCTCAACGTGACCAGCACAGTCCCTCTGTTTCCCAGTCTCTATTTCCCAAGTTTTGTTTGAGCAATGCTGTCGGTTTCGTTTACTGCTGTTCCCCCTCCTCTTCTCCTACTTATATTCCCTCATCAGTCAAAGTCTCTTATTCTGTCTTCTGCCAGCTGATTGACACATTTGCGCTGGAGATCGGGGAGCTGAAGAGAGAGATGGTCCAGACCTCTCCTGCAGTTGACAGGGAACCCGTGGATCTACAGGGGTAAGACTGTTTTCTGCACATCTTCTTATCTTCAAAACATTCATCAACCTGACCACTCTTGTTTTTATTTCCTGTAATCTCTGGAAATATTATCTTAATGAGGCATGATGCATGTTGCAGCATGTTGTGCATTGTTTTGTATTCTGTTAAATTCCTTCAACAGTATTTGTAAATGCCTCTGCACACATTGGTGCTCAGCAGATGGCAAAAGTGTTTGACTCTCTGTCTCTCTGTGTTTCTCTGCCAGGCTGGAGAGTGAAGTGAGTGGTGTTTACCTGCAGTCCCCCCAGTGTGGTGGGGTGGGGGGCGAAAGGGATTCTGGTTACGACTCCTTGCGAAGACGTATGAGTGTGTTAGACAGGCTGACTCAAACTCACCCGGTGTGGCTACTGCTGGCAGTCAGTGAAGAGGAGGCCAGTCGCATCCTGCTCAAACAGCCACTTGGGGTGAGGGATTGACATACAAATGTCAGTGTGTCTTATTTGAGTGTTATGTAGGATATATATATATATGTCATGACTTCTGGTTCTGTGGTGCAGGTGTTCTTGGTCAGGAAGTCAGCCGCTCTGCAGAGAAAAGTTCTGTCTGTGCGTCTGAAAGAAGATCAGTCAGGGACTCCCATCAGCCACTTCCCTGTCAGAGAAAGCCAGTACAGTAAGTGACGTGTTTGTTTTAAAGAAGTAGATGATGAATGTAGAAGATGGTCTTTTCATAATACTGGGCTGTCTATGCAGTAGAAAGATGGAAATACTTTTGAAAGTGGTGCTACATGAGGTAGAAAACCTACAACTCAGGAATGCAGTGTGCCACACTGTACCAATAAATGCTCCTGCTGGTGGGTGACGTATTGCGAATTTGTCTCTTTAGACCTAAACACAGGAAACAAAATGGGGGCCGGCTGGTAACAAACAATCTCGAATTACATTTTAACAGTAAGCTAAAATATGTTTCTGAAAACATATGAGGTAAAAAGTCACAATGTGGCAACAGAGTCTTGGTTTATATTTGATCAGCACTGCTTAGTTTTACCGTTTAATCTAAGTATTACATTTTTACAACACAGGAAACAGTATGCTGCCCTCTCCTTGTTCACAAACTCTTGTATTACAGCCAAACAGTGCACTTAAATGTGTTTCTGAAGACATTTTAGGTAAGGGTGACACAAAATGCGTCATCCAGCAGATTTGAGCTGAGTGATGAGCAGAGAGATTTGGGCACTGGTAAGGTGGAGGGAAGTTTATCACAGTTCTTTTATACATACAACATTTCCAAAGTTGTTGAAAATCAGCAAGTATCCCTTTAAGCGACTGTACTTGCAGTGCTGGGTGGTTTAGTGCTCAGCATCAGGATATAATAAATACTAGAGTTAGTGTCAAATAGATTGAAGATCACAGATAATCCCAAACTGACTTTCAGATTATCTGAGCAGCTCTGTCAGTCTTTGGTGTTTGCTACACAGTGTGGCACTGGACAGAATATGTTCAATGAGCCACAGTTTAGGTAGTTTTTTTTTTTTTTTTTGTTTTTTTTTTGTAAAGATAAATTCACGTTGAATCAGAAGCTGTAACATGTTAGATCAGAGGTAGGCAACCTGCAGCTCCGCGGCAGCATGTGGGTCTCTAGCCCCTCTCCAGTGGTGCTCTGTGGCTCTTACACAAATTACATGAACCTACATTGTTGTAGGTCACAAGTGATTCTTAGATACTTCACTTGCTAAATGTGTAGCCTGTACACCAAATTTAAAAAATGCTTTTACATTTTGTCAAATAAAGTGTGTCATACATCTACGGCCTGGCACTTTATTCTCCTAAATTGTCTGAACCTCAGTAGCAGTGGCTAGTCTTGAGTCTAGCTAAGCTTGCTTTGGAATCCAAATCCAAAAAGTCTCAGAGTAAAATAAAGAATCTAACAGTGCATGGACAGATTCATTTGCTTTCACCACTAACTCTTCAAAGTTCGAGCACCAAACAATCATAATAGCCCATTGCAGAGAAGCTACGTTTTTGGGCGGTTAATTAAAGCTCATTTAGACCTATAGGTAGTGTTGATACCGTAATATTGTCTGTGTTACCTTCATTAAATTGCTCAAATATGTTTTTCTCTGGCTAACAAGGGCTTTTTTGATAGAATATTTTGCCGACCCGTGGCGCAGGTGGATCAGAGACCACAAATTTTGGTCTTTCAGTTTCCTTTGGTCCCCTGATGATGTCTTGTTGAACCACAACCACCTCTGCAGTCACACTGCACTCTAGTTAAAGATGTAATTTCCTGTCCGCCCCCGCATATTGTGCACTAAGATAAACCCATACGAATGAGAAATGAGAGTGTGTGACCGGAGGGATGTCACTTTTCCCCTATTATGTGCGTGTGTGTGTGTGTGTGTGTGTGTGTGTGTGTGTGTGTGCGTACGTACTAGGTCTGCACATCACAATATGCCCGAAATGCAACTCACATTGCAATCGCAGTGTCTGTAAAAGTAATTGCAATATGATTTTTTTGAGTATGGTGCAGTCCTAGTGTGTAAGCATGCCAGTGTGGGGCTTTTAAAGGCTTCTTTCTAAGTTTCTATAAATTAGCTGCTCTATTAGTGCGACTGTCCCACTACACTGCTGCTGTAAAGTGATGAAATGTTGATCTGCTGATGTAATGTGGCTGCAGGACCCCCTCTCTCGCTTTTCTGACTTCTCTGTGCGTAGGAAAGTTTTGCTGATAAGGCATTTATCTTCAGTAAATGTCTGCCCACATTTGGTCATGGTCACATGTTTGTACTGCCTCAAGAGTCACATTGAACAGGTGACATAGTGTAGCTAGCTGTGTGTACGTGTGGGTTTAGTAACACTTGACGTGCGAGTAAAATAACTAGTGGTTAACAATATTACACATAAACTGTGCTTATACGCTTACAGTAATTAGTCATATGCAGAAATGTTGTGTTTCAGTGCTGGGAATTAGTCATGGAGCTGTGACAGTGCCAAAGTGTGATGACACACCAGCTGTGGATTTTCCCTGCTGAAATGACAGCACACATGGGAGGAAGGGGGGGAGGGAGAAGTAAGGGAGGGAGGGGAGTGCCTTTGGCCTGGTCTGGCCTTTAGATGTGGGTCAGCTGCTCTCCAGTTGGCCTCTCATACTGACTGCTGTGTCGAGTTAGCTTTGTGCACGAACGGTTTGAACTTAACTTTTAAACAATGCTTTCATGGCAAAGCACAAATCACCAGTCCTCTTTTGTCACACTTCTCATTGAACTCTTATATTAAAATCAAATCACGTCTCCTTCATGTAAAGTAAAATATGATGTGTGCTTATCAGCTAGCACAAAGCAATTTCAACCAATGATATCACAGCATCCACCCATCAATCAATCTGCAACTTTTAGCCACACAGAGCTAAACTTAAGAGTCAGCCAGCACAGCATGCTACATCGGTGTATCTTTGTTTCCCCAAAATACCCTGGTTAAGGGCAGCTGACTAGAATTTATTACCTTTAAGGAAAGTGTGACAGCTCCAGATTATGCACAAGGCTTTTTACAGTGGACTGCTTCAGAAACCGGAGCATACCATGAGCTTTGTCTCGTTCTCCTTGACGGATACTACTATGCCATCAGTGTCAGTGTTGGAGGCTTACTGTTACGACATGCCGGCTTTTCAACAATCAAGTCAAATTTTGTCCAATGTTAAATTCTGCCTGGATATGCTGTTTTTATCTGGAACTTATGTATGATACTGAAGGTAGATACTCTCAAAATGACATTTCACCTGGACTTTAACATGTCCAGCGGTGCCTAAATATTACATCTTGAGGTTAGATGTTGTCTTTGTGGAGAGCACACTAGCTCACCTGGTAGAGCAGGCACCCCATATACTAAAGGCTGTGTCATTACCGCATTGGCCAAGGGCTTGATTCCAACCATCTGCCCTTTCCTTGTTTGCGCGTGGAAGGGCAGAGAGGTGTGCTTTCTCTGCCATAGGCTTTCCACATAGGTGTGTTGAGGGGCGGAGAGGTGTGCTCTCTCTGTTTCTTTATGCTTCTGCGTACACTCGTCTATGTCGCTATGCAATTCCCCGCCAAAGTGCTTGGGGGCGCGGTGTTCTTTTATATACCTACCTAGACTCTGTGACGTCTATGGTCGTTGCTCGTTCATTGTTTGTCTATCTTCCGGCTTTGCTCTAGTCACAGTGAAGATGGTGACCGAGAGAGAAAGACTGTTGCTGGAGCTCAAAATGATCGACATTAAACAACAAATGCTCTTATTACACATGTTGCGACGACGACGAAGAGAGAGACGACTGCGCTGATGGTCTGTACGCCCGTTGAATGGCTCGAGGCAGTGTTGTGGTACTGCAGCAGGAAGTGAAACCTTGCGAATTGCCGGAAATGATGTCGGTTGAAGGACCAAGGGACGCAACGCCTCTGCAAAGCCCTCTGCATCGTAGGTATGCAGAGGTATAAACCTTGCTTTAGGCTTTCTGTGTAGGCCTAGGAAAGGCAGAGAGGCCCCAGAACAGAGCCATACCTCCAAATGTAATACTGAAAGTGGAACTAAAGTTTTTCTTTTGGCTAAAGTGAACTAATTTTTTTAGTGAAGGTTGTCGACCCCTTGTATAGACACTAAAAAAACAACAAACATCAACCCTCTGGTGCGCTGAAAGAAAAGTCAGGGCATCACCAAATTAATTATAGGGTTTATCCTCTGAGGACCATGAACATCTGTGCAAAATTTCTCGTAAATCCATCAGGTGTATGAGATCCTTTAGTCTGGACCAGACAGAAGGATCAGTCAACCAACAGTGTCATCCATAAATCCACACTGCTAACGTGGCTAAAAAACCAAAGGCCCTCACTTGGTCAATGACGTCGTCCACTCTAGTCATCATACAGACGTACAGTACACTGAAACCAAGACATGAAATGACGGTAAATATTGGAAAAACTTGCCACAGATGATGAGTAACAGGGATGTAGTGCTATTTGTTAAAGCACTGGAGCACACCTGTGACACACCTCCATTGTGACTAAGATCAATTTTTCAATTCACGCAATCAACTTCCTTGTAAGATGTTGGCAAGGCCGAACATAAATGACAGAATAAAGCTTCTTAATGCAAATTCCCTGTAAGAAATGACATCTAATCTAGTTTCAGTCTATCAGTTGTAACTCAATCTGTACACATTTCATTTGTTTGCAGCCTTTTCTCTCGAGGGATCTGGAATCAGCTTTGCAGATCTGTTCCGCCTGGTGGCTTTCTACTGTATCAGCAGGTAAACAAACCAACATTCGTTTTATTCGTCCATCACATCCCCAGCTTCTGCATGTTTTGTTCTGTAATGAGAGGGTGATTCGAAGATGGAAAGTCCATGGATGAAAATAATGTTTGTCGAGTAAGCACTCAGCTTTCGATGCCCAAGGCTCTCACTTCTTGTTTTAGCTCGAGAGACTCAGACGCACAAAGGACTTAAAACAACAGACTAAAGAAATAAAGGGAAATTGTGGTGCAAGCAGGACCCATCGCAGCACTTGTTTCAGTTAGAGAGATGACCACAAATCAAACAGGCCTCTTAAAGTGTACAACTGTGAATTATATCTCAATCTAATTTTGATCTACATTCTCAATCCCAACATGTTTGCTCTGTATATCTTTAGATCTTCATATCTGTTCCTTTGTAATGGAGACAAAGGTTGTGTCAGCATGTTTATATGAGTAATGATTGAAAGTGTTTTCACTTCTCTGTATGCCAGTGTGTGTTAGTGCATATCACTGTCAAATGAGGACAACGTGCTTCATGACCCTGACCATAAAGACAGAATCATTTACTTGTTATTGTCAATAAACGACACAGGTGTGTACAGTGTTAAGCTGTACAACTAAACTCACGCAGGCAGCTTCATCTGACTACTGTTGCATCCTAATTCATGTTTTAATCATTTCTTATATTGTATTTCTAATGTTCATGTTTATTGCCTGTTCATCTTTCACTCAGGGATGTCCTGCCTTTCACACTCAAACTCCCAGAGGCCATTGCATCTGCTAAAACTCAGAAAGACCTGGAGGAGGTGGCTCAGCTTGGAGCAGGTAGCCTCATTTATGATTTTGTTTTTTAAAATCACTGTCGTAGGCCGGGAGTGATCCCCTACATTTTGCCAAACCTCAATAGCAATGGCTGGTCTTGAGTCTCCCTAACTAAGGTAGCTATGAATTCTTAATCCCAAAAAGGGAAAAAAATGATGAATATGAGAATTTAAACCTTACCTTTCTTGCATTTCACACAGCACTTTGAACACAAAAAATTTGAACATCCACAACTCCCGCCTCCCTCCAAAGGCCTATTCCCCCCTCCTCCATTACGTCCTCATTACGTCTATGATAGATGTAGGCGTAAGCAAGGTAACGTTAGATACACGGAAGAGGAAAGGGAGTGTAATGTTACAATCAAGACAGTCAAACGCAACCCCGGAGTTTTAAAACTCAACCGGAGTCAGTGATGACTGATGAGTTTGAGAATAATAAATAATAAATGTTACGCAAGTGTTTACATCAGTCGGAGGGCTCGACATGGGGAAGACAGACAGGATGCTCGACCAGTCACTGCATTCAATCCGAATGCAATGATTGGTCGGCGTTTTCTTAGAACCATATGAGAATGGTATAATTATGAGTTTTTATCTCTGTTAGAATTCACTTACATTTTGGTGTGCCATCAGCTTATTAATAGCATTTTAACCTAAACAAAGAAAAGCATAAAATTTCCAGAAAGGGAAGTGTCGCTTTAACGGTGCTATCACCACCAACACTACAAAGTTAAGGAACCAAAGAATCAAAAGGAGCACACTTCAGAGTGACCACATTGTGTTAAAACATATTAATGAATGCTCATTTAGACTCAAATATGCTGTGTAACCTTCATTACAAGGCTCAAGTATGTTTTTGTGGCTCTTTTTCTGGCAAAAATGTCTTTTTTGATAGTAAAGCCATGTTAATTGCATACTGGCTCCCAGTTCTGTAGCAAAAATATTAATGCAGAAAAATTAGGGTGATATTGATCTCACTCTCTGAAAAAAAATGGAATAAGCCTGCACTATTTCTTAAACATTACCATTAAATAATGTGGCTAAGGTAAAGAATATATAAAGATTAGACCTCAGAAGTTAAAACATCAGTATCCTACATAGAGGTGCCAGTGTGGCTGCCTGTAACTTCTCCCCCTGCTATAACATGCAAACAGTCAACTAAGCAAGCAAATACAGAAAGTTTGTTAGTTTATTTATTTGTCTTTGTCAGTTCACGCTGACCACTCAGCTCTGGTTTCACAGCAGATTCAGTCACTTCATCTCTGTCAAGTTATTCTCAGCTCAGCTCCTGTGAAACTGCAGTGAGTCAGCTTCCTACAGTAGAATCCTACGACATAGCTCAGTGCTTAGTGTGGGGGAGAAGGGAGTGGCCAGTGGAAAGCTTCAGTAGGCTGTGCGCTCCATAAACACACACATACATACCATCATACCACATTCAGACGTGTGTCAACGCACAAGCCTTTCAAGTGTGAGTGCTAACAAACAATGTGCTTTAAACTGTGTCAAAGTTACTGACAAACATGAAGAGCTGCTTTTATATTTCCATGTTGACATTCCTGTGAATAGAAGTGGGTGTAAGGCTGTGCTCAAATGGCTTTTGCACTGCTGTTCTTTCATCTGTTGTGAAGGGGGGACAGAGGCAGCGTGTGAGCCTCTCTTAGTTAACTCATGCAGTCAGTAAAGGAAACTCCCCTTCACCACTGGAAAGCTTCTATTTAGAGACACAACGCAGACGATCATATTATATGTTGTGGAATCTGAGCACGCACATGTGAAACACAAACACATGTGACAAACAGTGCTAGAGGCATTTGAATATTGCAGTGACTTTGGAGCTGATTTGCCTCTGCATAGGGCCATGGAGGGGGTTGTTCTGCTGCAAAGGCACATTTTAGGGACTTATTAAGAGCTGATGATGATCGTAGCAAAGTCAGCTTCTCATGAGAGTGGGATTCTTTGCCAAGCTAGCAGCAGGACTTTAGGGATGGGTGTTGGGTCGGTCGGTTGGTTGGTCGGTTCGCCACTTTGATCCAAACTAATGTATGTCCAGGGTACTGGATGAAGTGCTCTGACATTTTTCACTGGTAATCATGTCCCCTTCAGGATTTGTAGCTTGATTTGAGCACAATCATCAGGTCAACCTTTGAATATGTCATATACCGCATTGTTGATGACTTTCTTCCTGCAAAATGCCACTGCTAATTAGCAAATGTTAGAGTGCTTACACACTGAACTAAGATGGTGAAGTATTAAATGAATTGCGTGTTGTCAGCCTTTGAACGTCTGGTGTCCTCAGTCATGTTGCCAAGAAGCAAATCTAGTTGCAGCAGCCCTGCCCAGGTCAGGTGTATGCAGGGGTGTTTCTAGGATTTGAGGACATTTGGGGCTTAGTCCAGACCTCTGTCAGGTTCTGGGGAGTCTCAAGCTCTATTCTGATATTATTTATGCACTCCAGCACCCTGTTTATGTTCAAAGTTTAATGATCGTCCCAGTGTGAATTAATTTATTTTCATTGTAAATTAGAAAATCTTGTAAAGTTGCACATCACTGCTGAAGTCTCTTGTTATTCAGTGGAGTCATTAATGTCTCTGTTACAGTCGAATTACATGGGACATGCAAGCGGCGAAACAAGTTTGTTGCTATTTGCCCACAACAGCGTGCAACCACTATAATTGTAAACAAATTGCTACACTTGACCACAGAAACCAACCTTGCCTGTGCGGGCATTGCGCAACTCTTCTGTTTTTATTTGGCTGGTTCATTATTTTTTCCCCTTCACGTGGCTCTGCGGCCCTCCAACAGGTAAAACTACATAGAACTGTGTAAAAACGAGCAGTTTGTTTTAAAAGGATTCAAATGAAAACCTGATTGTACCAGAGGCAGTGCAGAGCTGCAGAGCAACCTTTTGGGTGTTTTACATTTTTACATTTTGATTTAAATTATTCAATCCAATCAATGCGTCCTGTACGTGAAACAAGCCAGTTTATTAATTCAGTACTAGCTGATATAGCCCACACTTCCGAACACTGCATAACTAACTGCATCATCACTCGGCAAAACTCAATATGCACACAGTGAAGCTGTATTTAGGCCATTAAAGGTTTTGTCAGTGGACTTCCATAATACCATAGGTTCTCAAATATTGACCTCAGCGCCAGATCTTTATTCGAAAAAGACATATTTATTCTATTTCCCCTATTTTATGCGTACGGCTTATTGCTTATTGTGTATTGTTTTAGTAATAGCCCTCCCTGTTTTCTGATCCTTTCCCATTTTAATTTGCCGTCGAAGCTGTTTGCTTTTCATCCACATAAACATGTTTTCTCGATAAAGTTAGTTAAAGGGATAGTTAAAGGGATAGTGCACCTGTTTCTCTGTGCACTACGTTCACCTGTGTGCGCTTGTGCGAGACCAGTGAAAGCACGTGAACACACATGAAGGTGGTGCCCATGTCTCACAGAGTCGTGCAAGCGCATACACGTGAGCGCAGTGTACCAACAGGCAGTTAGAGCTGCAGGCTACAATGAGGCTAAAAACAGAGTTAAAACAACTTTTTATGTCGGGGCTTCAGGACACGTGGATCACTACGGACGAGCAGTATGGAGATATTTTGTGGTTTCAATTATGTGTTTTTGGATGTTTGAATCTGGGGCGCTGTAAGCCTGTATTAGGTGGAGTTGTGTTGCTACCCCATCTCCCCTTGGATCTCCGGAAGTGTTGTGAGGACTCTAAAACTTCACCAGGGCCTCCATCGGCATATGGGTGAATAATGGCTGAATTTTCATTTTTTGGCTGCACTATCCCTTTAAACGTTCCCTCAGTATTTACTGTTGCCTCAGTTTTGCTTTTTTTTAAGTCACCATCAATGACACTAAAGACTTCCCGCATAGATGTTTCACATTAAAAGCCACTCTGCATCAGAAAATGCACAATTGCCCCCGTTCAAAGTAGACTTTTAGTTTGAAAAGTCAGCAGGATGTGTTAAATTTATTTGACATTAATTTAACCTCACCCCTCAAAAAATGCAAGTGATTTGAATTAGTGAATGAAAACAGTTTGTGTTTCATAAAAATAAAAAAACTTGGAGCAGCAAGTTGTTGAGTGTGGCGTGTTTGTTTTATAGATGGATTAGTGCCATTGAAATATACATCATGATGCTGAAGTTACCATGTGAGCTTATTCCACCCCTCCTTGATGTTTTTTACTCAGCCCATAAGTGACCGGTCTTTGGACACAAACTAAATGTATCTGTGTACCTGAAAATTTATGGTATGCTCTTTTTCAGTCAAATGTTGTCATATGTGCTGTTGCGAATCGTCTGCCTGCTGCAGACAGACTCCACAGTGTCAGGTGACCATTGCTCACAAGGACCAGTAAGAACACCACAGGCAGACTTCAGTCCGAGGTGATTGTGAGACATATGAAACCGTTGCACCCGGCGTCTTTTATTGCTCCAGGAATGCAAGAGTAACGATTCTATTTATAGCCTGCGGGGACAGACAACACTGAGCTTTCACTGCATAGATATTTTGAAGTGGCAAGATTTGTTGCCTTGTTTTTTCCAGTTTGGTGAAATCATTGTGTTGTGACTAGATATTCATGCTTGGAGATAGGAGAATCTTTCTTTTTAAGTGGTTGTTGAAGCTGAGTGTGTTAGCGTCTTGCCAAATAGTTGAAAACAATGGAGTAATTCAGTGGAAAGGCACAGAGGAACATCAAAATGGGAGCACATGTCCTCCACTGTTGTGGGACACTGTACTGTCAATATGGAAAAAAAACAGAGGCAGGAATTCATATATATACATAAGGTTTGCTGTGAGCTATAGCTTCATTTTACAACAGAAAACTGTCCTTAGACTACTAAGTTAGGGGAGACACAGGTCAGCAGTGTGAAGAGTCAAGAGAGAGGAAAACAGAGCAGGAAGAAGGAGTGGAGGAACTGGAACTGCGTGCCGTGTGTTGTGTTTAGTGCCCTCCCACTCTGTGATTAGCATGGGCGACTCCCTCTCTGTCTCTGGGTGTGTGCCGGCACCCAGTGAATCTGAGCCAAGAGACACGGGGCTGAACTCACAACGCTTTGCCACCAGCAAGACGAAAGACACGCTAAAGCAGAGAGGCAGGGAAAGAGAAAACTGTGGAAAACTTTGAGGAAACGTCTGAACTGTTGGTGAGAGGAAATAGTTGAGAGTGCTGTCTTTGTTCTGTCTCGATTTCTCTTTGACTGGTCTTTTTTTCTAAAGACTGGAGAACATATCCTGTCTCTGAGCCGTGAATTGTCCCAGGAGAAGTGTGTGTTTAGCTTAAGGTTAGTTAATGATTGCCTCTGATTGTTTCTGTGTGTTACAGGCTTCTGGGACTCTGCCCTGTGCAGTCAGCGTCGCACTTCTCCTCGTCCCTGTCGCCCTCTGAGCCGCACACTCAGCCCCCAGCGGACCAACAGGAACAGGGAGGTTGAGGGGTCACAGCAGAGACACACCGGGGCTCACTGCGACAGTGCACCCCCGACCCTACGGTCCCACGCCCCTCCACCTTCCTTTCATCTGGAGAGGAGACATTCCAGTGGTCCTCTGTGCTTCCTCAACCCCCTGTTTCTCCAGACTCATCAGCACCGCCGTTGTGAAGACGATCCACCTTCACATGCTGTCAAGTCCAGTAGCAACCTGGAGAATGCAGGGCAGTCATCTGAGAAGCTGTTAAGCAGCAGTCAAGGTAGCGAGTCAAACGTGGACAAAACCAAACTGAACGGCAAATCACGCCCCCCTCCCCCTCGACCCCCTCCTCCCCGCTCCATGCCACGCCGGCGCCCTGCCCCACCTCCACCTGGACCTCCAGCAGCCACTGCCAGACCCAAGAGCATGCCAGTGGCCGTTGCTGTCTCTACAAGGCAACAACAGTCCTCCGTCAGGCGCCCAGCACCCGCTCGGCCATCAATGGGTGCCAAGCAAAGCAGCCCATCCAAAACTGCAAGCTCGCCGATCTCCGTGCCTTCAAACCGACCACCTCCAAGGCCTAAGAAGCCTGATCTGGAAGCTCACCGCTGCCACATTGCCCTGGATGATGAGACTATCGCCAGAGCTCTGTCCCGTGCCAAGCTCCCCACCTGCCAGCCTCCACCTGCTGTCCCTGCTGACGTACTACTGGAGAATAACGCCGGGAGTCCGTCCCATCCGAAGGAGAGGGGACGCCAGCGGCTCAGTGACATGAGCATGTCTACTTCTTCTTCTGACTCACTGGAATATTCGCAGTCTCCGGGATTCTCCCTGGGCCTGGCCCCTAACCCATCCAGACACCTTAATCATCAAGACCCAGTGGAGGACAGCAGTGACGACGACGAGGATGGGGAAGAAGATGAGGAGGAGGACTACGGGGTCAGTCTGGAAACTGACCTCGAGATGCGTCTACGTCCCTCCTTAAAGGCGCGGAGGCGAAGGGTCGGTGTGAGCCTGAGTGGCGGCTCTTTCATCCTCCCCAGTGCCCTGAAGGGACGGTTTCGCAAAGTAAGCGGCATGCTGAGCTCCCTGATGACCCCGGAGAGACGGGCGGTGAAAAGGATTGCTGAGCTGTCCAGGGACAAAAGCTCGTACTTTGGCTCCCTGGTCCAAGACTATATCAGCTTTGTTCAGGAGAATCGAGGCTGTCACACCTCAGGGATTGACTTTCTGCAGACTCTCAGGCAGTTTTTGACACAGATGAAGGCTTACCTGCGCCAGAGCTCTGAGCTGGACCCTCCTATTGAATCACTCATACCTGAGGACCAGATCGGTAAGTTGTACTTGTACTTTTGAGATGTGTTACATGCATGGTGCGTCCTGACTAAATGAAACATTTGCTCATGATTGCGTGGGCACATGTGTGCATGTGTGTGATCTTTTAGTCATACCCTGTCTCTGACGGCACTCTACCTGTTCTCCTTCCAGTACAATTTGACAAGTAAAACCTCTTCAGTGTTGCTTTAGAAAAGGATTTCAAACTGACTTCATTCATTGAAAATGTTCAGTGAGTGCCCAGGCAGGCCATTGCCCTGGGAATCAGACAGGCTAGTTGAAGTTTTCCATATTAGTCTTCCTAATAACTGGCATTGAGTTACAGAAATGCCAGCTTGCCGTGCCCCAGTAAGTTATTCTTGGCCTCTGTTGGTTGGAATAAGCTTACAGTGCAGTCGAAGCTCATATATTTGTATTAGAGTCATTCAGCCCTTCATTACGCTATTTTTGAATGAGCTCGAATCAGTCATAGAAATTTATGACACCATCTTTACTATAACTCTTTTTACTAAACATATATCACTCCCTCTCTAATATCTGTTTTATATAACTGTAAAAATCAACAAAATTTTGTGTCAAACAACTGAATTTATTTCTCGGTAAATTACATTTGATCCCATCATGATAATGTTAATATTTACCTTCACCCAATACTAATTTTAACTGAAAGTTAAAATGCATCATAATTCAGTGCAGCCTCTGTTAGCTGTTAGCTCTAGCCACCGGCTGCTAACAGCTAACGATAACTAGCTCTCCTCCTGCCAATATCAATCAATCAATCAATCAATCAATCAATTTTATTTATAAAGCCCAATAACACAAATCACAGTTTCCCTCACAGGGCTTTACAGCATATGACATCCCTCTGTCCTTAGGACCCTCACACAGATTTGTCGTTCACAATGTAGCGTTAACAGGGAAACAATATAGTGTGTCCTCTGATATGTCTATAGTGAGTTTACTGCATCATTTTGTCCCGACAGCGCCCCGGGCAAGATCTCTGTGCATCCTTAACACGTGTTCTAGTTTCCAAAGTACGACAGGGCGCCGTTAGTCTCAAGCCCTGCTTTTCGGCCCGCCGAAACAATCGATACAATGCAATGGAAAAACTACTACATCTGTGAATGTCATATTATTTGCAGATGGCAGTCAACAAGGCGAATATCATCTGATACCGATGTTCGACAGATAAATTGGTGCATCCCTAATTTTAGGCCTGCTTGGTATTTAACAAGTTGGTACCTACTGAAATGTAAGAGAACTGAAAGCTGGCGGCAAGTGCTTCACCAGATATATGGTCTCTTTGACTGTTTCAAAATCCTGTATACTGTAGCTGTGTGTGTTTAGAGTAGCAACAGCATGTAACCCTCAGTAGCTTTGGCTTCTAAAACATGGTACCAAAAATATTGTTTTGGTACTAGTAAACTCAGGTATCTTATTGGCAGAAGTATCAAAACTATTCAAATGAGCCCTGTTTCTAATCCTATTGGATGGTATCAAAGTTGTTTATATCCTCCACTGAGGTCATGATGATTGTAAATATAAAGTTTGCAGGCATGTGCAGCTCTATCAAAGGGACGTTTCATTCCAGTCCCATTATTGTGGACTTGAGTATTTGCATGAATATGTAAGTATGTCTTTGCACTCATCTCGCGTCCCTTGTTCATTGTAAACAATAACAGCAAAGCCTTGTTCAGAGACAGAGAAGTGATCCATTCTGGTTGTGCTAACAGACCACAGATACGCACACCAAGCGTCTCACGCTCACAAACGTTCCCTTTGGAGAGGGGATATGTGAAGAAATGTAATACAGTGCAGCGACCGTGAAAGTAACCATAGAGTTTAAAAGTTTAGCTGTGTTAGTGGCACGATCACGAGAGACATCCACTGTATATGCACCAGGGAAATACTTAAGTAGATTTTTTTAAGTGGTGAGAGGTATGTCGGAATTACAGCTATCCATTTTTCCCTGGAAAAAGAAAACAAAACGGAGACCTGTGAGCAGACAGTCTGGCTGACGTCATGCTACAATCCAACAGAATATGTTTAAAAGAAAGGAGAAGTGCAGTTAAGCTGATGTCTGCGCTCTGACTGTTTACAGAGAGATTTGGAAGAGTGTGGTTACGTTATGGCTCAAGGTCTGACATCTTGGGAGAAGAATGTTTGTGCTGAAGAGGAGCTAGAAGTAATAACTTTATTAAAGTATTTGTTGAAACTATAATACTTTGTGACTTGAAGAAGTAGAATGATCAACAATTGGGTGTTTGCATAGGGAGGGTGTACAGCTGTCAACACGCCCTAACTTATGGCCGTGACTGGATAAGAACAAACAGAGGGAGGAAAAGACTCTCATTACTGGGATGTAAATCAGAAAACTGCACATATTTTATGTCTGCTTTCATGTGCTTAAAGCATTTTTCTTACATTTTATTGTATGTGCTTGTTGGTATGTTGTTGTGCGTATGCACGGTTGGCCTGCCTTTGACCAGGCTGTCGTCTCTAGATAAAATCCAACAACAGACATTGCTCAATGTACAACGGAAATCAGCCTTTTTGGAGGGAATCAGGAAGTTCACACTCAGAGAATGTGTTTGTGTGTGTCTACAGCGTGTCCTCAACAGTACCCCTGCCTGTGTACACACGAGGATCTGTTGGATTTGCCCAGCTCCTGTAAACACCTTGGGCCTCCCCCTGTTCTCGACTTCAGATTTATTTTTCTTAGCAGTGTTCAATAAAGAGCTGCCAAACCCTTACCTCAGGCGACCTGCAACACTTGTCTCTTAGACACAGTGTGGGGGCATGTGCCAGAGTGTAAGTGGAGCACATTCACTCCTGCTCTCCTCTGGTATTCCTCTGACTCACCATAAAGCCAGAAATATTTCCACAAGAGTAGAATTCTTGTATGTGCATGCTCGCTTGTTAGTGCTGTTGCAAAACTTGCATTGGGTTCTGTGCTGCTCACTGCATAAACACTGCCTGGAGGCTCTGGATACTTGTGCATGAATAGCTGTGACAGTGCTGCCAGTGAACAAAAAGACACAATTGTGAATGCAGCATGCTATACATTTTTGAGGTAGGCAGGAAATTATTTGAAGCCTATGTACGTAGGTTCGAGGTACAGATGGAGCCACTGTAGAGGTCCGAATGCAACCTTTTCCTGCATGTAAGCTGAATTAATGATATACTTATGAACAGGGCTCCAAGTTAGATTTGTCAAGGTCGGACTTAAGCTGAGACTCTAACTAATATGCCACTCTTTAACTCTTCAAAGCATGTAGCAAACAATCAGGTGGCCCCTGAGCTAAACTGCAAATGTGTAACGTAGTAAAACCTCTTTGAATGTCAGACTTTGAGGTTAGTTATTTATTACTATTGTTGCTTAAAGTTGTTGAACACCAGCAATTAGAAAGGATTCAGATTTAAGAAACAGATGGAGGATAAATGCACACAGGAAACTATCAGCGCCTGATACTGTTAGTGTGGGGAATGGTTGCTTGGTTTACTCATCTCTGAGTAATGCTTGCTGAATAATTACTGGACCTATATAGATAAAAGAAACTGTATATGTGGGCCCCTTCTATTGGATTCACTTCCTCAGCAGGAATGAGTGGGCGTGAGCGTTGAGAGACATTGTCGGTACTGTATATTACCTTAGTAGGTGGTGTTCAGCAAGTCCCCAGATTGGAGAAGCAGACAGGAGTGCTGACACCTAAGATAGGCTACTGCTGTGGAGGGGTGCAGCAGCAAAACATATAAGCCATCTTAAAAACGGCCCACCTAAAACAATTGATACCAGTTTAAGTGTACATTATATTTTCACAGCTTTACATTGCTTTCAGATTGTCTGTTCCAACAGGGAACTGAGGCCCCTCTGCTGTCTTCAAAGCCACCGGACTCTCACTTCACAAAACGGACAATTTACCTCACAGAACACAGGAGTTGCTGGTCTACCGCTGCCTTCATTGGGTAGTGTGTTTGTGTGATTTTGTGACTTTGTTGAATCCCAACTAACCTTTTAAAATACCAAAGCCACACAATAACACAAACAAACTAACTGATTGAGGCAGTGGTAGACCAGCAGCTGACTGTGTTCTGCAAGACTGAATTATTGTTTGTGTTAAAGGAGTCTTGTGGCTATGAAGAGAGTGTAGATAACGACTTCAGTTCCCCATTAGAAAGGGCTGTCTGACACCAAGGTAAAGCGATGAAAATACAGCATACACTTACACTGATAATGACTTCAGTAGAACAACATTTTTTTTCTGCCACACAGCATCATTTTTTTAACTGTATGCCATTTTGCAACCTAGCAGCGATGCTGCTTACCATAATATGTAGGCTAATGCCAGCCAGCAAGCTAATGTGTGTGGTAATGTAATATCGTCACAACATTATTGTGTTTAAAAGCGTTAGTTTAGATTCAGCAAAGTCACATAATACCCAAACAAGCTAACAAGCCAATGCAGCGGTAGACCAGCAACTCCTGGTTTCTGCAAGGTAAAATTACTGTTTTTGTCAAAGGAGTCTGGTGGCTTTGACGAGAGCTTAGATAAGCTTAGCTTTAATTCTCCGTTGGAATGGGCTGTCAAATGGCAAAGTCTATGTAGAGTATATTCTGAATATAGCATACACTTACATTGACCTTTTTTTTTTTTTTGAGGTGGCTAAAATATGTTTTGCTACTGCCCAATTGAAACCATTGTATCGCTCTCTTCAAAGCCACCAGACACTTCTAATAGAATCAGTAATTTTACCTCGCAGAATCGGGGAGCTGCTGGTCTACCACTGCCTCAGTTGGTTAGTTTGTTTGTCCATCTGTGTGACTTGTTTTGACCATGGATAACAGCACTGGGCCAGTCTGCAATTGAATACACCTCATAATGTTAGCTACGGTAGTTAGACAGTATATGGATAGTCATCTAATGTCATCTAATGCTAATGGGAAGCTAGCAAGTTATCTTGCAGCTATTTCATAAGACTGAAATGACTAAATGTGACTAAACATAATGTCTATCGTCAACATGAGTTCTGCCTGAGTCACAACAGATAGATTTTTATCAGCTATGGTGGTTGTTTACATATATGTATAAATGTTTCTGTATGGTTGTTTGACAATGAAGACAACAACTCCCATGATACCATGCTACTTCACGATATCATCAAAGTCCTTTTCTTGTTGCTTTGTTTAGAGATCCCCAAAAGGCAGAAATTACATAATGTGTGTTTAATACAGCTTTACACCAAGCAAAATCCCCTAGTGTGTATCGCTAACCAGTGGGTGTTCTCTGAGGTTAATTGTCAGTTGACCTTGTAAAACATGAATGTGATTTTTTTTTATGTGATAAAGTGGGTTGACCTCCTTTATTTACAGTAATTGTTGTGGTTATAGCATTTATAGTAGTGGAAAGAACAGTTTCCATTTGCTGTAATGAGTCCTGTCATTGGGCTTTCACAACAGGCAGTGACGCACTGTCCGTTGTAAAACTTTTCTCATTTGTTTGCATTTGAAATCTACTGGTGTGCTTTCACAATCAAAATGTCCGTTTCTCATTGACCTTTGGCTTGTGTGTGTGTGTGTGCGTGCGTGCGTGTGTGTGTGTTTCCGTCATCCTCTACAGACCAGGTGCTAGAGAAGGCCATGCACAAGTGTGTCCTAAAGCCTCTGAAGAGCGTGATTGACGCGGTTTTACATGACTTCCAGGTCAGAGATAAGTGAAATCTTGTGATCCTGCAAGGTTACTGTTGGATGTTGGAGATGTTAGATTGCATCTCTACTTTCTTAGATAGATGAGGATCATTTTATCCCTAATATACGAGGCATTGTAGGCTTTGGAAGAAAATTAGCTTACGCTATCTCTCAATCATAATTTTTATAAAGGTGAACAGACTCCTAACTCATATTCTTACTTCACCTTGGTCTGCTGTTCTCTGCAGGTGAGCAGCGGAGCTTTGCAGCAGCTAAAGGAGAACCTGGCCCTGGCTAAAGCCAAGAGGCCCCAGGAGTTAGGGGTGGACGGAGCTGTGCCCCCTGACCCCGTGGCTATTGAGAAGATCCGCCACAAGTTCGTCAACATGAGCAAGATGTACTCCCCTGAGAAAAAGGTGTCACTGCTGCTGCGTGTGTGTAAACTCATCTACACCATCATGCAGGATAACTCAGGTATGAAGAAGTGAGAGATGGAGGTATTTTTATACCCTGCATATGACATGAAGCCTGAGACTAACACTAATATTTAAAAATAGGGCAGCTTTAGTTTAAGTGGATAATTTTTCACAAAGTCCAGTGTCCTATTTTTGGAATATAAAACATTTTCTGAAATAGATTCTTCAGTCTTGACCTTTGTCAGACCTGTGTGCCCACCACACCTACCTGTCTCACTGCTCTCTCTCTGCTTCCTGCCAGGGAGGATGTACGGTGCTGATGACTTCCTGCCCATGCTCACTTATGTGGTGGCTCAGTGTGACATGCCTCAGCTGGACACAGATATCCAGTACATGATGGAGCTGCTGGACCCATCTCTGCTGCAAGGAGAGGGTAGGTCCTGCTGGTTGCTCCACATCTTCCATGACTTTCTTGGTATACAGTATGTGTATGCTGAATTATTTCTTTTAGGCTCAATCCTAGTAAGCAAAAAGCTCAAAGGAAAAAAACAAGAAATACTCCTTTACCTGTCAAGCCAAAGAGAAACTGGAGGAGGTTCACACCCCATCAGCACCATGGGCTCCTGAGCTGTCTCAATTTTCAGAAAATGTTTTCCTTCACTTATGGTTATATAATGCTGGATATTTCCCTCATGAGGTCAGTCAGATTACAGTGTGGTGTGAGGTTGATGTGCATTACAGCCTGTTGTATAACCCCGTCAACGGAAGGTCTGTCTGGGAGGAAGCAGAGAACAGAGGGCACACCTCCAGCTGAATGGTTGGAAATGGCACACATCAATAAAGATCAAGGGCAGGGGGCACATATTAGAAATCTTTTACAACTGTCACACAATCCTGTCACGCCATAAGGAGGCTGTCACATTCGGGACCTGGGCCCAGATCTGAGTACACTTGACACCAAAGTATACCATATCGGGGCATGGTACACTGATCTGTGCCCAGGTCCACTTGAAAAGATGGTCTTGAGTATGGTTCATATGTATGTTGGTATAGTCTGTATCAGGTGTATAAACCAGCTTTATCAGAACACGCAAGTGGACTGCTGTTTAACACGAGTTGTAGTTGGCGAGCATAGTTGGTATTTGCGTGCGTTTGCATATGTGTGCTGCATGTGCCGTTCTCATCCTCTGAACTGCACGACCATGGGAAGGCAGATGTGAGGGGCGTTCTTGACACTGGGCCTCATTTTGTCAGTATTCGTTGATTTCTGGGATTCACCAATGTTTTCTTATTAATGCTCCTCTCCTATAAAAGTGTTCAGCAGCACCATCAACATTCACAGGGTTAATACAAGTGTTTCAGAACAGACAGTATTAGGAAACATGTATACATGTTCCAGTAGGAACCTTAACTACAGGTATGAACTTGAAAATGTGCATAATGATCCTAGTTGCATTTCCATTATCACATTCTCTATTAATAAATGCACAATTTTTTTTTCTCTGGAAGCATTGTCTCGCAGTAATTTTCACTCACTGAGCTGAGTTCAGTTTACCAGGAGGGTTTTGTAAGGGGGCTTATGAAACATAGACTTAGGAAGGAAAGTCCTTTTGATATTGGTAGGAAATTCCGGTCGTCGTTTGATTTGAATGGGCTGGAGCAGGCTCAGAGGAAAAAGGAAGCTGGACCCTCCCAGAATGAAATATTTTCCTATCAGCGTCAACCTGTATGGCATGCACAGTAATCTCATTGTGGAATTACTCCAGTGTATGAGTAAAGGTGTATCCTGAAACCTCAATTTTGAAAATGCCTATTCTTGTTCTGATTATTTTTCCATGATGAAGGAGGAAGTGTTCACTTCTCGATCATTTTTTTATGTGACTCATTTAATGTCAGCTGGTTTCATTTCTAGACAACCAGCTCTGTTCTGTTTTGTTTTCTCCACAAATCCTCAAGCATCTCTCTCTCATTTCCGCCCACTCAGGGGGCTACTACCTGACCAGTGCGTACGGAGCCATGGCCCTCATCAAGAACTTCCAGGAGGAGCAGGCAGCCCGGGTGTTGAGCTCTGAGGCCAGGAACACACTGCACCAGTGGCACAGACGGCGCACTGCTCAGCGTTCAGCGCCCACTGTGGACGACTTTCAGGTATCACGCCTGACCTGAACCCATCTTGAACATCCAGGCAGTGAGTCTAAGTTGTACCAATTCCAAATAAATCCGCACTTCATATTCAGCATTGGAAAGGTGCATGAAAGGTGCTGTGTTGCACCTCCCATCGGTGAAAAGGAATATATGTACAAATTTTACTAACATCTCAGCATGAGGATCTGAATCTGTGGTTCACTTTTTCTAACTTTTGTAGAAAGCACCATCTAGTGGAGCATTTAACAACTGCATGTGGTTTCTATCGATAGCAAAAACTTTTTCTGCCTGCATGCTTGATTCATTTGTAATACCTCCTTCATTGATTGTTGAAATGTCTGTATTTACTTCCAAATGTTAACACAGGACTTTTTATTTCTCCCTGTAGAACTTTCTCCGTGTAGCCCTTCAGGAAGTGGACACAGGCTGCACGGCCAAAACCCTGATCGTCCAACCTTACACGACCACAGAGGAGGTCTGCTCACTCTGCGCTTACAAATTCAAAATCCCTGACCCCGACACCTACGCACTGTTTCTTGTCACTGAGGACACCAGCCATCAGCTCGCCCCGGACACACACCCTCAACGAATCAAAGCCGAGCTCCACAGCCGGCCCCGAGCACAGGTCTTCCACTTTGTCTACAGGAGAGTGCCTAACCTTAACCTCTGTATCCCTGCCATAATGCACAATGGGAACTGCCTTCAAGTTGAATAGCACAGGAGAAACTAACAGCTTTCTGCACTTGATCCTAAACAAAAGTTATGTTTTGTGGTGTTCTGGTGGTGCTTGCACATGTTTGTTTTGTAGATAAATTTGAGGACGTCTGAATGGAAACAGAAACCAAGCTGTACATTGGCATATTGAGGCGGATATAAAAAGTCTTTGATCAGATATGATGCCATGCAAACTATATGGTGAGTTATTTTTATGAAGAACCACCAGGGGATAGGATGGACTGCGGGAAGTGCTGGTGTTTCACTCAAACACTTTAAGACTGTGGCTCAGATTTGGGTCAAAAAATGCTGAGAATGGTAAGTTGCAAGTTTGATTCAGGTTGTCGACAATTCAACCATTTAGAGACCATCTATCTGGTTAGATTAGGTGGTATGCTGAGCGGAAATTGTCGAATAGTTTAGAGTGGCTGGTTTACAGGGTTTTTGGTATGTGAAGTATTATAAGAAGGTGAAAAGTTCTTCAGATTGTTGGACAGGTGTACCATCCTTAAAGGTACTGTATGTAACTTTTTACATGTATTATTGTTTAATATTGCCAATGGGTAAACAGATAGTAACATAACTTAAAAACTGAGACTTTCCCGACTTTCTTTGTTGCCTGTAACAGCCTCGGGACTGACTTCTGTGTAAAGGACAGGGGCCGAATTTTCTGGGAAAATCCAAAGGAAGTGATGAACCTTGACCAAGAAACCCTTTCTTTCTAGAAGCCCTCAAGGTCAACTCCTCTCAATAGCGTGCTGCACCTCTCTTCAGCTCCACAACAGTGTGCAACAGTAGCAAACATTAGTTAAAGGTCCCATATTGTGAAGAGTCAGATTTCCATGTCTTTTTAAAATTAAAGCAGGTATAGGTGCTTTATAAATACTGTGAAAGTATCAAAACGCTCAGTTCACAGAGCATTGCTCACAGTTTGTATTCAGAAACTGTGCTTGTAAGCAAGCTGTCAGGATTTCTGTGAATTTGTGATGTCACAAGTATACCAAAGACTGTTTGAGACACAAACACTCTAAATCGGTCCTTTTGTATTCCTCATTGGGATGTTTTGCTGTGTGTGACTGACATCAGCTGACAGGAAGTAAACATGGATCCAAGCCATAATTCAGACAGAGGGTGATTACAGGTGTATTCAGGCAGGCAGTATGAGGAAAATTATGATTTTTGTACATTAAAGCTTGTAAACATGTCCCTGTGGAAACCCAAAATACAAGTGTGTTCCTGAATATGAGCATAATATGGGACCTTTAAGAAATAAAGTCTGCTAACATCAACAAACCACCGACATCCACCATAACAAGGGTCCACTATAATATATATTTTGCAGTGGCAGCCAGGAGACAGACCTTCACTTTCAGCTGAGGTTTGTGCTGGCTGAATTTGGGTTGTTAGAGCCGCTGAATGAAGGTCTGTTTCCAGAGCTACCATCCGCGTTCCTCCAGGAGAAATCGTTTCTGGAAGGACAGCGGGGTGCGCTAGCAAATTCTTGTCTCCTTTGCGGTCTGATAAACAAAATTCAGTGCCCCATATCATAGTATCAGTGCCCCCTAGTGCTGAAAAAAATCCCAGAGGAAACGGTGACATGTAAAACATATTTGGATATTGTGGTTCTAGCTGGCTCATGTTAGCATTAGCTTGTGAACGAATTGCTAGATGGCAAACGTAGCATTGAGTGGATAACGTCTGCTAATTCATCCAGACTCTCAGGGCTGGTTTGCACATTACTTAACCAGCTATAAAGCAACCCATGGCAGATCCATGAGGGGTAGCTAAGTTAAGCTAAGGTTAGCCAGCTAGCGGTAAAGCTACGCTTCATGGATCTGCTGTCGGTTGCTTTGTAACGTCAGCAGATAAGGTCATTAGCCAAGGGCAAGCTAGTTAGCATCACGGAGCCAGTGGTCCAAATTGAATGCAGGAACATACAGATAGCAACATTATTCTAAATACAACTGTAATTTATTTTCCAGTATTCTATCAAACAGGATGTCGGTCGATCACGGTCAGTCTTTTGTTAGTCACTGTTGGGCTTGGGGCTACAGAGGGTGCTGACAGCAGTTCACTTAACGGCCTCAGAGAGAGGTGTCATTAAAAACAAGTTACATACAGAACCTTTAACGCAGAGGTCATCTAGTTTATATTGCATTTTATATAACTAACGTTTGCCTAAACTGCTGTTATCCCAGGTGCCTTCAAAACAAATTGAACATCCTGTATGCTACTGAAAGCTCTCCGCTCTCATCCAGTGATGAGTCAGCTTTCATCAAAGTGACCCAGAAAACAAAAACAAAAATCAACACAGTGCTAAAACATTGATTTATTAAGTAAAATGAACTATTGTAAAAGTTATGATTGTTATTTTTATTGCTCTTGTGTTTATTTTCTGCAATTGCTGGTCAATTGTAGCGTGTATGCCTGTGTAGAAATATTTTTATATTCAAATGTTTCCTTTTCATCACTAAAGATTTGTATTCTGACATAATATTTCTGTACTGGACTCGATAGTGAACTTGGATTTATGCCAGTTATTTCTCAAAAGTCAGTTTAAAACAACACTGTCTCTGTTAATTGTTATGTAAAGCTCAAAGCTGACTGTGGAAATATAAAAAATATCTCCAAACGAGGCTACTTGCTGACTCTTACATTATATTATTTTCAGGAAACTTTGCTACTGTATTTTAAAAAGGAAGTGTCACATACTGGGCATAAAATTAGGTGTCTGTGTTGCACAATAATACCCAGACAATAAAGGAACAGCAGGATTTTACATGATCTCTAAGATGTAATTCACATACAACAGGCTGTAAAATGCACAATTGGTCACACATTGTTCAGTCTGCAAACATATACAAATTAAACTGATTAAGAAATGATTTTCAGAGCATGGTCTAAACAGAAGGGAATATTTGTGGAGCATTTCTGTGGTTTAATGTATAAAGTCAAATGAACAATTTGTCGTTGTGGTTTTTCTTCTTCCTGTTTTGCCTTTTAAAACGTAAAATAACCACTACTGGATTCATAGGACTGAACACTGAGATACAGTGGAATGAATCTTTACTTGTTCCTGATTGGTCAATAATTGTGCGCCCTTAATGTACAACTGTTGCTAGGTGAAACACCTGCCTGCTTGTACTACTCCACTCCTGTGTAAGGGTGCTCCTGGTACAGACTTACTCTCTCCCATACAGTAATAATCTTAATCACACACACTTTTTGGCATGTACAAGACAAGATGGCCTTCTCACTACTGTCTGATCATAAGTGATATGTTTATTTTGATTTAAATGTATACACATAGGTTATGCCTTTGATTGCATACATTTTAAAATTGGCCCAAACAATAAAGTCACATATTCACAATAAGGTATTGTGTAACGTAGTAGATTCCAAATGACTGAATAGCTTCCTGGAACAGTTAGTGAGTTATTAAGCATCAAATTAACCTTTCTGGAGTCCCTGCCTTATCTAAGTGTTCATGCAAAGAGTTTTAGGTAAAGTCTTCCGTACTGAGTACATGAAGTCAGTGTTATGTTTACCAAAGTGAAGCTGGTAAAGCATTGTAAATTCATTGCACGTGTTTGGTCAGTTTCAGGACAGCTCTAAGAGGAGTGGTGTTTTGGAGGGTATACGTGGGTATATGGGGTATATCCATCACTTTTTCTACCAGTTTACAGTTCAATCACCTATCAGCCCAAAATCATCTGGATTATTTAACAGAGTAAACCCACTTCCTCCTTGGTAACCTACCCTTCTACCTGGTACTATACCCACCTTGTCAGCTATCAATACACCACTGTCTAAGAGTGTTATGTTGGATAAGGAAGTCAGTAAGAGTGAGAAAAATTTGGGAAAGGCTTAAAAATAAAGCACTCTCAGAACATCTTATACAAGGTATTTAACATGCAAATTACAAAATGATTAGACAGTACATTGCAGCACCTAGAGGTTTGCAGTTAAGTCTTTCCTTAGTCTTCTAACGACCATTTAGAATTTAACTCAAATGTTATTTGTGAAAAAATATGTTTATCTCAGTGGTACAAAGTTTACAACAACCATTATGGTATTTCATATTCTTCAGTGTCACTTCCTGACTGGCCACAGTGTTCACAATTTTTTTTTTTAAATAGATTAATTTTATGCTCAAAGTTAAAATAAAATAAAATAAACCGGAAAGATGACGTCGACTACAGTAGAAGACGCGGGTGATGCGCATGCGTCATCTTCCGAGCTTGCAGTTGAAATGTTATATCTCTTTGATCGGCAAACCGATAACACCTTCGTGAACTAACCGCTAGCTAGTCAAGGTATCTTTTTTTCTTCTTGTATCTTGTTTTCTGAGTATTTGTATTTGAAGCCAGCACAACGCGGAAACGTCAACTTTTTCACCGAGCTTGCTGACATTATGGTAAGTTACTATCTCCGCTAGTGTTAGCTGCGCCGCTAGCGTTAGCTGGTACTGGCAAAATAAATCACACTGGCCGCACAAGACCCCAAAACTGGCAGCCTTATTACTTATCAAAGACAGTTTGGTCATAAATTGACAGGAAATGCTTATGTAAAATTCGGGTTTTTAAATTAACTTCTTACTGGCTTTAGGGAAACTAGCAAAAAACTAGCTCACATCAACTGTTAGCTAACGGTCGTCATTCAGAAGTAACTGAAGCCCAGCAAACGTTAGAATCATGTCATATATCTTTTAGTTGAAGGAGGTGGAGAAGAATCTTCCTCCTCATAACTGATAGTTATGTTTGGTCCCAATTCATGGGCTTTATCCCTCGAAGGCTGCAACCTTGACTGTGACAGAGCTATGGTTTCTGTTTGGAAAAAAAAAAGTTACGGTAGGTAGGTGTTTTTATTTTATTATTATTATTATTATTATTAATATTATTATTATTGTTGTTATTTTTTGAGATAACATTTTTATTACGTTTCTTTCCTAAATATTAATAATAAACCATATAGCCACATCTCATCCATATGTGTCCATATGTTTCACAAATTGTGCAGTTGTAGAAACAGAAAAATGGACCTATTGTCATCAACCCATAAACCTTCCCGTGACAGTCTGGATCTCAGTGGACTCCTGCACTACAATCAACAAACTCCACAAATCCATTCAGCAGCTCCACCACCCACAGTCAGACACACAGGCTGCTTATTTACTCCTGAATTACAGCTGACCACTTGCACCAATGGCTCAAGTTGCTCCTGTGTGAATGTTTTTGCTCGCAGGCTGGCTCAGACTATTTACTGGACTTTGCCAGCCTGTCGTTAATGTGGCTTTTGAAGATAATGGCAAGCATGGCCATTCTCAACTTTTAATGTCTGATAGTCCACCACTAACATTTTCAACATGTCACGTCTCTTCAACAAAAATGAAACATAGATGTTGTCTAAGAGTTTATTATTAAGACATATTTTTAGCTCGTCGTCTTTTTTTTCATGGAAAAAAGGTTGTTGACAAAAAGTATTTATCATAGTTTTTGTCGACAAAATAAACACTGCAGGGATCAGTCCACCATTGTGTTGTCTTCCTCTGGAACTTTCAAAGATGTCTACGCCATGATGTGTTGCTCTCTCGTCAGCCTGCAGCAGGTGTTCTTCTTCTTCTTCTTCTCTGTGTTTCTTGGCGGACCACAAACAAACTTTAAAGGTGTGCTGCCACCCACTGTGTCAGGGTGTGTAGATGCTGCCCTGATAGTCAGTGAAAGCAGTCTGGCTTCATATTATCAGCGCTATTTATCAGCAATAATTTTAATGATGCAATTTCTAGGCGCAGCTGAGGGGTGGAGGGTGTCAGGTTCGGTGACGGGAGGATCTCGTCTCTGCTTTTTGTGGATGATGTGGTCCTCCTAGCCCCATCGAACAGTGAACTCCGGCTCTTGCTGGGACAGTTCGCAGCCGAGTGTGAAGCGGCTGGGATTAGAATCAGCACCTCCAAGTCTGAGGCCATGGTCCTCAGCTGGAAAAGGGTGGATTGCCCACTCCTGGTCTGGGGGGAGGTTCTTCCTCAGGTGGAGGAGTTTAAGTATCTTGGTATCTTGTTCACAAGTGAGGGTAGGATGGAGCGGGAGATTGACAGGCGGATTGGGGCGGCGTCAGCAGTAATGCAGGTGCTTAACCAGTCCGTTGTGGTGAAGAGGGAGCTTAGCCAGAAAGCGAAGCTCTCGATTTACTGGTCGATCTACGTTCCAACCCTCACCTATGGGCACGAGCTCTGGGTAGTGACCAAAAGAACGAGATTGCGAGTACAAGCAGCCGAAATGAGTTTCCTCCGCAGGGTGGCTGGGCTCAGCCTTAGAGATAGGGTGAGGAGCTCAGACATCCAGGAGGGACTCTGAGTAGAGCCGCTGCTCCTCCACATCGAGAGGAGCCAGTTGAGGTGGTTCGGGCATCTGGTAAGGATGCCTTCCGGACACCTCCCTTGGGAGGTGTATCGGGCATGTCCAACCGGGAGGAGACCTCGGGGCTGCCCCAGGACACACTGGAGGGATTACATTGCCTGGCTGGCCTGGGAACGCCTCGAGGTTCCCTCGGATGAGCTGACGGAAGTGGCTGGGGAGAGGACTGTCTGGGCTTCTTTGCTGCAGCTGCTGCCCCCATGACCCGGACCCAGATAAGCGGAGGACGACAAGTACGAGTACAAATTTTAATGATCAGAATAATACATGATATTAAAAATGTCCCATTATCGGTCGATAATTTGTCAGCCCAATATTTATCTTGCATCCCTAATTTTTTCCTAGCCAGTCTAAAATGACTATCGCCGTTCTGACCGCACATGAACTTTTACTCAGTTTCAGACTTGGAAGTACTTATGTGCCCTGTTTTTTTTTTCCCTTATCTTTCAGCAACTCCACAGATTGAAGAGACAGACAGCAAACAGACAAGGACACAAGCTGATCAAAGTGGCTCACATTCGTCAGACCGTACTTTATACACCAAATCAATGGTGTGAATGTTTAAAGAATGTTTTCAGAAAATATGTGACAAACCCCAAATGCACCTTAAAACAAAGTCTGACAGCAATTAAAAAGTTTTGTGATTTCTTTTTCATTACTACTTTGTAAGGTGAATGTATGCTTTTATGCAATATCTTGGTTCAAAACTATATTTGCTTGGGTTGCAGTGCACGGCACTTGAAAGTAGGATTTTCTGAGAAAGGTGAAGGAAATGTATTGACTGTTTGCTGTATTGTATCTACTCATAAATTATGTGCCTGCAGCATTATTGTTATGTGCTACTGCTGCTGAATCTGATGCAGGAATTGAAATAAGATGTAACCTCCCTGACACATTATTAACTGCTTTTAGTTCAATGCTGGTTCATTCCTGTGTTAAAGCAGCACTCCGTCTAGTGGCTAAATTTTGTAATATCTGTCACCAGTTAGTTTACTAGTGTGATGGAAACATATTGGTATTTAACCATATTTAACCTATAATGTGTTGTGCATGTGTTGTATACCCATGTTCTAAGGTTACTTGTTTTGATGAAACTGAACTTCTCACCTAATGATATGTGTTGCTTATTTAACCCCTACTGTGACAGCAGTGTGAGATACAGCAGGAGCCAAATGGAAGCAGGTTACGAGCCAGGGAGGTCCTTGTGGGCCTCAAGAGATGTTGTGTCTTAGGGATGCTTGCTGTAGAACCACCTGCGTGCTATATATTTTGACTATTGACATGCATGTGTTTTGGGAGCTATAAAGATAGCTGAAGAACATCTAGGCACTCACTCACTCACTCACTCACTGTTAATGTGGTTTTATGTGTGTGACTCCATTCATGAATGCTTATTAAAACTCAAGAAAGACAGCCAATGTGTGAAGACTTTTTTCTTTAAACTGTTTATTAAATAGACCGAAGTTGTTTTGTTGGCCACCATGAAGGGACCTCATCTGTGAGCGGATTCTGGAATTCTGGACTGAAGGCATGAAGACTGTGTACACAGCAAGAGCCAAGGCTCTCGCAACCTCAAACTCCCCCACAAAGGAAGGTTGAGAAGAGGGCCTGACGTCTGGAGAACCGGGATTCCCTTCACCGCTGGGGTCCAACAAACTTGGTGGCTGTCAACACCTTGCTGTCTTTCCTGGTGAGTTTTGAGGACGCAGGAAAAATCTTTTCCACCTGCTGAGATAGGTTGGCAGACGTGCCAGGCACTGTTTCTGGGAAGCTGAGTGCAGGGAAAGTGGAGAGCTCGGTTTAGGTTAGGGACCTATAGAAGTAGTGTAGGTTAGAAACCTAAAATGACACCTGATTATTTCAGCTGTTAAAGGCAGAAGAAAAGGTGGTGAGAAGCTGTCTGGGTTAAAGGAGAAGTAGAGACACTTGCTTATCAGAGTGGAACAGGAGTGAGTGAAGCGTGTGTTATTTCCTTTTTGCAAGTCGTGTGCCTTTTCTGGTAAAGGTAAAAAAAAAATGTTTCATGTGGAGATATGTTCATCTTTGTAGTGCAAGGATCGTTAGGACAACTGTTAACACCCCACTCCAGTGTATTTTGGCATTTTCATGACATTTCTGATTTGTCCTGAGTCCTGGTAATGTTGAGTAGCCACACTGTTTGCAATTTGTATTTGACAGCTAATTTAATTTTGTGGTCAAAGTAAACCAAAATAAACAAAAACAAACAAACCATGAAGATTAAGTTTGACTACAGTAGAAGCTGCAGGTCATGCGCATGCTCTCAAAGTTTGCGCAGGTGCACTGTCACGCCTTTTTGCGTCTGATCGGCAAACCGATAAACAGCTTGTGAGCTAGCCACAAGCTAGTCAGCTTTTTGTAGTTTATCCTCCTCGTCTGTCTTGCTTCGCTAGTTTTTGGACCCAGCGCTGTAAGAACTCAACTCTTCACTGATATCGCTGTAATGTCGGTAAGTTAACATCTAGCTACGGGTATCGTAGACAATGAGGGTTTAAGTTAGCTAGTAATGGAAAAGAAATCACACAGCGTATGCAAGACCGATACAGTGGCAGCCTTATTACTTATCAAAGATGATTTGGCTATAAATTGATAGGAAATGTTTTGGGTTAACTTCTTATTGGCGTTTCGGAAGCTGCTCATGTTAACTGTTACCTAACGGTCGTTATTCGGAATTATTACACGGCTCTATTACATGCTGCATTCTGATTGGTCAGTCGCGGCATTCTGCGGTCTGATATTACTGTGTAATGACCGCTGCTAGTAGCAACGGTCATTACACACAGTTGCTATGTAGCCCGGCGTTGCTATAGGGACGCTGCCCTGACAACAGTTACTTTTTTTGTCGGGCTTAAGTAGCCGTTACCGCTTACAAAATAATAATTTACAAAATACAAAGATGGACTATTTTCATGAGATAACTTTTAATATATTTGGTGAGCATGAAAATCTTGAGACATGGTTACTGGCTGAAGATGAGAAGAATGCCAGAGAAGAGGGATGCTCAGAGGCGCACGGGAAAGAGAGGAGACACAAGATTGTGGATGACAGGGAGGTTGATCGCATCGAAGAAGAAAGACATGAACTAAACACCAAACGGAGCACTTTATGGGGCTTGAAGGTGTTTAATGACTGGCTGAATGAGAAGAAAATGACAACAGATTTAATAAATAAATGTTGATTCATAATCTTAGAAAGTTAAACATTAGCCTTTACCAGAATAAAAAAAGATCTTAACTTTAAGTCCACTTTATAGCCTATGTGCATTGTTAGGCTATTTTCTTTTCATTTTCTCTTGTAGCTATTGTAGCGCATATTCAGCCGTTGCCGGCAGTTTGTTTTTTTCTCTCCTCCCGATTTAATTTATAACTCAATAAAATTGTATAATTAATCAATATTCTGTCTATTCAACTGATAATTAGCCGTGTAATAAGCGGGATAATGTATAATGAGCCGGCCAGTATTTTCCCAGTATTCACCGGCTCATTATACATTACCCCTTACGTAACTGAACTCAAGCAACGTTGGGTCCTATTTCTTTCAGACGAGGAGGTGGAGAAAAATCGCCCACCTCATAATTTCCGTTAATCCCAATTTAATATCCATCTCTCAAAAGCTGCAGCCCCTGAATTGGGAGAGAGCTAACGTATGTTCTCTGTTTGAGGGAAAAAAAAGAACCGAAAAGCCACAATGAGGTTAGTTAACTTGCAATATATAGAGAGCACCTGTGACGCGGAGTGATACCTTTGAGTGATAATGCGAATCAAAAGTCCCAGTGACGTCATACTGTTCTGTTGACACATGCCTCTCGTCCAATCAAATTACTTGTTTAGCATTCAGCACCACTGTCATATGAGATGTTAAAATCAGTATTTTTCTGCTATTATCAAATTAAATACATCTTTCTGTACAACGTACTGTTATATTTTAAATATGAAAAAAAAAACTGCAGCATCATGGACAACCGGCACTGACCAGAGGGGGCAGTCCAAAGAGATATGGAGTAACGTTAGGCACACCCACCCATCTTCCTGAGTTGGTAACGATACCTAGTAAGAGCATGACACATCATGCTGCTGCTGCTCCTCCTCCTCGGATGTAAAGTTTTGACCCCACTTTTATGAACTGAAAGTGTTTCACGGATTCCTCTGTGATTTTCTTCCTTCGACGTCTCACTAACTGTGACGTTACCACCACTGTCTCGTCGCCGTTTCTGTGCAGAAGGGTCAATCACTCGTGTTTTTTGGTAAGTACATATAAGATGTAACTATTAGCTGAACTGTTAAGACACCAGCAGTGTTCAGGAAAGACCGTGCCCTGTCAGTAGTTACTTTCGTTTTCGTCGAGATACAGGAAGTTTGAGATCATGGCCACATTGTACAACTTGTGTTTATTTCTGAACATAAATAATCGTTGCGACTGAAATATGAAATGGCCATTGTTAGAAAATGGCAACTGAATAGGCTTTTAAACGAAGTCTGAAGTGACTATTTCCTCAAGACAGTGTATAACTTAACGTTATGCAGATGTCAGAATATCATGCTGTGAACACTGACTCATGGAAACATTCAGTTTTTAAATCTGGTACTTGACTTCATAGTACAATAAATACTTTCATGATTGTGATTATACTACACTGCATCAAGTTTACTGTTTCTGTTCTGTATCTAACACAAAGTCTGTTTATATTCTAGCCACCAAAGTGATATTAACTTTCACTTTTGATTTACTTTTGAAATATATCGCAGGGTTAATGCACCAGTTATGTTGCAATGCTGCTGACCAGGGTAATGATATTTTAAGTCAGGATATATGTTTGCAATGTTTTGCATTTGTTAAGTCATGTGTACACTCAGTGATAATGAGAGTAGGTGTTTCTGTGATGATCTGGAGAATTCAAGTTGCATTTTGTTTTCTAAGCAGAAACTTTAGTATCTGAAGTTAAAAATTTAGCACGTTGGTTAAGAGTTTTGCAAAAACATTATGTTGGAAATTGATCTACAGTAATACTAAGATTCTGGTGTACTTTTTATGGACCAAAGCAAACATGTCATGACTTGCTGTGACTGTGTGCATAAATCATCCCAGTTAAAGTTCATCTCCTGCTATTGTGTTCATATGTTGATAAACAATACAATTTAGGTTAATTTAGGTTTATTCAGGGTATTGAAAAGTCTCCACAACACTCTGTACTTGTTAACAGAGGTGTATTTATATATCCTGGTTAATGATTATGAATTACAACCAGCAGGAGTTAAAGTTTTCTCTTCCATATACTCTGTGGGAACATTAACACAGTTGTCTCTACAGACATATTTTTACTGTCTCATTTGATAACAAAATAAGATTTTGCAAATGTTGCTGTGTTATGTAGCCAGGTTATAGCTTTTGTTTTTTACACTCATCATCTTCACATCTTTTCAGGAACCTTTGCCTCTGTGATGGATCCCCAAAATATTCTCAAAACCACACTCAAGAAAAAATTTCAGACTTTGAATGAAGCATACTCTGCAAAGTCATTACTTCCTTCAAGACTTTGCTATCGGAAGCTCAAGCACGACTACAGATGCCCTACTTTGCACCAGTCTGAGTTTAGACATATCGACAAGTCTGACCTTCATAGTTGGGTATATTTTGAAACTGTCCCTCTCGCAGATATTTTATCATGCGACTGCAAACACGACAGCAGCAAAAAAACAGTCATCACTTTAGGAGTGGGTGGAGTTGGAAAAACCACAACAGTGCAGAGTTGTGCACTGGAGTGGGCAGAGGGCAAAGGGTACCATGACATCCAGCTCATGCTTCCTCTCACGTTCTGGGAGTTAAATTTGCTCAAACACAAATTGAGCCTCATTGAACTTCTACAGACATTTTACCCTGAATTGAAGGAGCTTGATGTTTCCAGCCTAAAAGAAAAGGTGTGGTTCGTCCTTGACGGACTGGATGAGTATCATTGTCAGCTGGACTTCAGCTGTCCAGCTGTGAGTGATGTTTCTGAGGTATCCACAGTGGATGCACTGGTGACCAATCTGATCAGGGGGAATTTACTTCCCAGTGCTCACATATGGATAACGACCCGATATGCAGCGGCAACACAAATCCCTGATTGCTACTTGCTTAAAGAGACGGAGGTTCAAGGGTTCAGTGACGGACAGAAGGAGCAGCACTTCAGGACAGTTATGGGTAATGATGATCTTGCCTACAAAGCCATTAATCACGTGAAAATATCAAGGAGTCTGGAATGGCTTTGTCAGATACCTCCAATCTGCACCATCATGGCAAATGTGTTAAAGAATCATCTAAAACCTAGTGATGGGTTTAAAATCAATCCCCTGAGTTTAACCCAGATTTACACAAATCTGGTCAAAGCATCAAGCTCGGACATTGTTGCCAAGCTGAAATATCTGTCAGTAGAGGAAAAAGGGAGTAATGTGATCTATGAGCATCATCTTCGAGAGAATGACATAAGTGTTGAGGAAGCGTCAACTTTCTCCAAAGAGTGTCCACTTGTGTTGAGAGAAGAAAAGGGTCTGCATAACACCACAGTGTTTCGCTTTGGCCACTGGAGCATTCAGGAGTTCTTTGCTGCGTCTGCTAAATTAGACAATATTGAAGGCTCAGTCCAGTCTGTCTATTGTCGGAATCTGGTCGACCAGGCGCTGCAGAATGCTGAGGGAAAGTCAGATGTCTTCCTTCGCTTCATCTTTGGCCTCATTAAGGAACGTGGCACATTGGAGCCCACAGATCCGCTGTTTAACTACACCAAGAAGAAGATCCTGGAGAACATCTTGTCTCCCGGCGCTGTGGGTCTGTTCCACTGTCTGAGGGAGTATGACAGCCGGGCTTTACTGGAAGAAGTGAACTTCTTTCTGGAGTTTGGCTTCTCTCCAATTCCTAATCTGTCATCAACGCACTGGCAATTCATGATGCAAAGGACCTGTAATTTTGAGGGACTGAGAGAGAGTTTTGAGATGAAGGTGTCCGAGGGATGTGATGAGAGCCTCCTCAGGCAGCTACCAGCTATTTTGAAATCCAAGAAAGCCATGTAAGTTTATATATCTCATTTATATAGACTGCATTAGATAAATATTTGGACATTTCTACATTTTTTGTTGTGTTGTTTTTCTGTTCACCCTACCTAAATCTCTCTCTCTCTCTCTCTCTCTCTCTCTCTCTCTCTCTCTCTCTCTCTGTCTGTCTCTGTCTCTCTCTCTCTCTGTCTCTCTCTCTCGCAAACACACACATATTCATTTCTATTTGAGAGATGACTATCTCAAATTCTTTGGAAGATTAAACCAAAACGATTTGTATGGCTAGGTACCAATTTTAGTGTGTTATTCGGGTGTAGTTGCCCTTTATTTTGACTGCGTTTACGCCTTTTAGTTGGTCAACAGTCCATTATTATCCTCCTGCTTAGTCTTGGTATTGGGGGACTGAGTATAAAAAGCTTTACAGTTTCCATTTTTGGCAGTGAATATGGATCTAAACAATCTCAACCACCCCTCACTATTGAAAATCAGCTTGTTAACGTCATAGTCATCTTATGATTTATATCCTCATTCATTTTATTTGTGCTAGAAGACAGTGCCAGAACAAAAACAATGTTAGCAGTATTATGCTATGACTCTTGTTGTATAATGTGAATTAAAGGATAAGGCAGGTTTTCCCCCAAAGTTTACACTGTGTCAACAAATTCCATTGACTCCCATCTCCTTGCAGGCTGCGGTTCTCCAACCTGACAGACACATGTTGTCCAGTCTTAGCAGCAATCCTGAGCACAAGTGAGTCATACCTGAGAGAGCTGGACCTGGGATACAACAGCATCAGTGACAGTGGAGTCCGGACGCTTGTGGAGGGGCTGAACGATCAAAACTGCAGACTGAAAACAATCAGGTTGCAAGCCTGTGGAGTGACCTCGCATGGCTGTGAATACCTCGCCACGACCCTGAGACAGTCCAAGAAACTGCAGGAGTTGGATCTCAGCATGAACGAAATAGGAGATGACGGACTGACACAACTTGCAGATGGTTTGAGATCACCCGATTGCCAGTTAGAAACACTCAAGTAAGTGTTGGGAAATAAGCTTAGCTGCTCATGCTGTTTATCTCATACGAAATTAACATGAAACAAGAATGATCTTTGTTTTGCTGCCATTACATGTTTCCTTGCATATGAAGTTACACAGATACATTTTTTTACTTGTGAAGTTTATCTCAAAAGAATCACAAAATTGGGCACCAAAAGCTCCTCAAAATTTAACAATGAAAAATGCAACTCAGACTTATGTTGATTATAGCTTGTTGTTTTGTAAATGTTCTGCACACTTAGCATTTCTGTTACATTGCTGTCATGTTTTTTGTAGACTATCACAGTGCAACATTGAGCAAAGGGGCTGCTGTTGTCTGGCCTCGGCTCTGCAGGAGAACTCCGACCACCTGAAAGTGTTGGATCTGAGCATCAATATGGTTGGAGACACAGGGGCCATGGAGCTCCTCAGAAAATTTGATATATCAAAGCTAACAAAGCTGGAGTGAGTGTGACTTCATATAAATGCATCCTCGGCCTTCAAACATAAATGAATAGATACCAGTAGTCCAGTAACGTTTTGTATCTCTTTGGCAGGATGTACCACTGTGGCCTCACTGTGTTAAGCTGTGGAAGTATCGGGGAAGCTCTGAAGAATGAAACCAGCACTCTGGTAGAGCTCAATTTGAGCAACAACAGCTTGAAAGATGCAGGGTTTGCACTCATCTGCTAAGGAATGTACGCATGGTGTAGTCTGGAAAAACTCAAGTAAGGATGCCTTGCTCTTATAGTTCTCCTTTGATTACTTACTGACTAAAGTAAAAATTATGTCATTTTATTTTCACTGCTTACTTCAGCAAGTTCATATGGGTGTCACTTTTTCTGTGATATTCAGCAAAAAAAGGCTCATGTACTGATAACTAAATATCCCTAAACCAATAATTAAAGACAGTTTCTCCTGTTTGCTTTCAGTGTTTCAAGATGTGGAATCACTGGAAAAGGTTGCCTTTATTTGGCAAAAGTCCTGTGTTCAATCTCTCAGCTCTACAAGGGGCTGATTCAAGAAACAGACTGGCAGGCAGTCGAGCTGAAAGACCTTGACCTCAGCATGAACCGCCTCGGAGACAAGGGAGTTAAGGAAATTTCAGATGGACTCACTAATCCGTTCAGCCATCTGAAATCTCTCAAGTAACTCACTTTCAAATTATTATTCTTCATCAGACAAATGTTATGTTAGAAGATCAGTATGCTATAACATGATGTTGTTTCTTTTAAGCCTGAGTCACTGCAGCCTGACTCATGGCTGTTGTGCAGAGCTTGCATCAGGATTGGCATCAAAGGGGAGCGTCATCAGGGCGCTGGACCTGTCTGGCAATGACCTCCAGGACAAGGGAGTGAAGAAACTCTGTGCGGGGCTCGGAAACCCTCAAAGCAAACTTGAGACACTGTCGTAAGTCTTTGTGTTGTTGTTTTTTTTATTACTCCGTTGAGAATTACGGCAATAAAATTTAACAGGTCATTTATTGTCACTCAAAACATGGGTTCAGATAACTCATAGCTGTGTAGTAGGTCCTGCTACTCAAGGTAAGTTACTTTATTGATGATTAACTCCCAACAGCTTTTTGGCTCAGCTTTTTAAATTATATATATTTAAATTTTATTCCTCTTTTCAATTCAATTCAAATTTCAACATAGTTTTGTGTGTGTTCGCACAAAATACATTGTTTTTATATGCTGAGATCTTTCTCTGTTTCCATATGATTAGTGTTGGAAACGTGACCTTTGGGCAGTGTCTGGACTTTATGGAGTCTGACATCATATCCTGTGTGGCAGCCTCTGTGGCTGAAAAATTAGGCCAACACAGTTCCTCCAATGGCCTCTTGAGGCTGGCCCGTAGACACCCGTGTTAAAATGCCCAACTTTACAGTAAAAATAAACATGTGTACTGCCTGGTATAAAAATGGATTTGATCTGTGTAGCTAATGTCAACATTCATAACAGTTAAAAGGGGGTTCAACTCACCCAGTTCCATTTTATTAAGGCTTAAAGTTACGCATTATTAAAGGCGGGGCCACTTGAGTGACAGGCTGTATGCAAGGCATCACTACAGACTGAGTCAGATCAGCACCTCGCTCCTCCACAGCTCCTATTTTCTTGTCCAAATTTGGTCACTTCTCTCTCCAAGATCCAAGATGGCGACAACTGAAATGCTAGACTTGAGGCTTCAAAACGAGAGTCCACAAACCAATAGGTGACGTCACAGTAGCTACATCCATTATTTTATACAAGCTACTGTGGCAACTGTAGGGTTTTATTCAGAGTATTCAAAAGGAGCTGTATGTGGGAGAAGGTTAGCTGTGGCAGGGTTATGGGGATGAACAATAGGCTTGGGTGATTTGAAATGCATGGATAGGCCAGCTCTGAAGCATTGAGGTTTGATAGCCTGCCCTATTAAAGAAACTGTGTTTAAAAGACACTGAAATCATAGACAGTATTCCGACTCTATTGCCACACCAATTGAAAACTGGGCAATTGTACAATAACCACATGAAACATTGACTACAGTTTAGTTTAGTTATAATTTATTGGGATATCCTGAAACATTTCTTTGCAGCCTCAGTTATGTGCATGCTGTGGAAATACATTGAGCCAGTTTAATCTCAGGTACTTGTGTTTCTCCCCAGACTGAGGACCTGTGGCCTGAGCTCGAGGAGCATTCAGTTCCTGACCACTGCCCTCAAGTCGAACCCCCATCATCTGACAGAGCTGCATGTGATGGGCAACAATCTGGAACACTCAGGAATCAGAGTGCTCCAGGAAATCACAAAGAATGAGAAATACGCCTTACATACCATAGAGTGAGTACTGATGATGATATTTTAATAAAATGTTATCAATAAGTTCACAGCAGACATTCCTCTTTCCCTTGCCCTTGTTATAATGAAGCTGTGGCTTGTTTGTATGTATTTTTCCTGTCCAGTCTAAAATGACTATTATAGTTCTGACTGCACATGAACTTTCACTCACTTTCAAACATCATTGGAGGTTTATTTTCTTATCTTTCAGTGTCTCCACAGATTGAAGAGACAGGCAGCAACAGACACAAGCTGATCAAACTTGCTCACGTTCGTCAGACCATACTTTATACACCAAGTCAGTGGTAGGAACGTCCTTGTATTCCAGTGCTTATTCTAGCTACAATATCAAATGCTCCATCTACTCTGTTTAAAGAATGTGACAGAGCCAAAACGCATCTTAAAAGTATGTCAGCAATTAAAATGTCTTGTGATTTCTTTTTCATATTGTAAGATGAATATGTCTTACGCAGTGCCTTAGTTGGAAAGTGAAAGAATTGTGTTGACTCAAGTAATGTAGCTACTCATAAAATATGTGCCTGCAGTATTATCGTTATGTACATTACTATTTCTGTTCACAATGTTTTGTGATTTCTTTTTCATTACCTCATGGTAACATGAATGTGTTTTTACACAGTGCCTTAGTTCGAAATATGTTTCCTTGGATTGCAGTGCACAGCACTTAAAGTACTTATAAAATATGTGCCTACAGTATTATAGTTACATACTATTGCTTTTCAAAATGTTTTGTGATTTATTTTTCATTATTACATTGTAAGATGAATGTATGTTTTTAGGCAGTGCCTCGAAAGTACCTTTCCTTTGGTTGCAGTGAACAGCACTTACAAGTAAAATTATCAGAGAAATGTGAAAGACATGTGTTACTGTTTAAAGTAATGTATCTACTCAGAAAATATGTGCCTGCAGTATTGTTGTTGTGTACTATTACTACTGAATCTGATGCAAGAATTAAAATGAGATCTCCATGACCACTGAAAACACTCTTCTTCTAGTCGAATGCTGGTTCATGTCTGTGCTGTAGCAGCACCCCATCTAGTGGCCAAACCTCGTAATGTCAGTGTATGACGCGTTTGTTGTCAGCTGATATAGCGGTACCTTGGCTGCGTCTGTGTCAGTACAGCACAGCAGGCAGCATCTCCTGTGTCATCGCACTGTACCAGTGAACGCACCACTGACACAAAGGTAAGGCAAAGGTAACTTTATGAATTAATATAATGACAACTAACATGCATTTTGTCAGCATCCAGGAGCAGGCATGTCGCACAGGGTTGTTAATTTCATGGACGTTTGTCACAGCTGTAATGTAACTGCATTATACTAAGTTGAAATTGATAGTTGGATGCTGTGTGGCTTCGATGTCATGGTAATTTGATCAGGGCGAGCGGCGCAGAAAAGTGCAAAGGGGTGTGGATTGGCATCACAGCTTTGCTGGCTAGGCCTGTATGGCGCAGTTTCAGAAAGATTCCACCTGACAGTCATGCGGGAGTCTTCTCTGTCGACCATCATCCTACAGCCAAAGAAATAAACGTGCTGCGTTAACCGTCTCCAAGGTGGATGCAGAGACATACAGACATTTGTAAAACGCCCTCAGCTCTGCAGTGTGGTATCCGCTGCTTGGTCATTGTGGCAGTGTCTCTTAATTATACACTGAGATCAACTTAAATGTGATGTACGTGGGTCATTTTGTGCTGTCACGTCAAAGACATGGGTTGTAATAAGATAAGCAGGTGCAGGGCTGTTGTCCTGTGACATTACTGTGCTGTACTGTTGTCTGAAATACAAAAATGTCGAGTTTGGGCTTTTTCTCTAATATTTCGTCATATGAACACAGCATTTAAGTCATAACATGCTGCCAGTCATAAATAATAATAACCATGTAACACCACAAATCCACTGCTGCCAATGTAGCTTTTAATTGTACAATTTTGATGCCTATTTTTACCTATCATCTGTCACTGTCTATATAAATCCTTAATGGTTTATACAATATAAACATTTAGTATTTATTTATTTGCATCACAGAACACTCAAGGACATAGATGTTTTATTTTTTATTGTTGGTTAATGGTGCTTATATATATTAACGCCCTGTATACACCTATTTTTGTGTATTTAATAGTCCTATCTTTCCTTTACCTTTATTTGTCCTCTCAAAAGTCCTTGTGTGTGTGTGTGTGTGTGTGTGTGTGAGGGCATATTTGGCCAGTAAAGCTATAAAGGCAATTTCTAAACAGTCCAAGATAACTTCTTTCTTCCCAGAAAACAAAACATTACAGCAAGAAGCAGTGTGACGCAGATGATTATGAGTCAGGTAAAGTTCAGTCGCAGTTCGCGCAGGTGTACACGTCAAGGGGGCGTGCCACTGTGGGGGGGTAGTGACGCAGCAGTTGCTAGCATTTTTGCTAAATTAGCTAGGTAACATTAGCTAACACGAAGCAGCAAACACACGGCAAGTCAATAGACAGTAAGAGACTTTTTATATACCTATGAATTAAATATTAGAATTCTGAATATTTATTTTTTTCATTAAACATACACAGGCCTACAAAAAATATTTAATGAACAAGTGTGAGTCACTGAAATATTCCATTTGTTCACTGTTAACAATAGCTTAGCTTAGCTTACATCATGATAAAGGTAATGTTAGCTAACATCACAAAACCTACTCTCAATAGGTTCCCTGTTGTCTGAGCTTTGCTGTAACGTATTAACCAAACATAACCACCGGCCCGAAACTTCAGAAATATAGTCAAGGCTAACTAGTTCGTTGAAACCTCGGCCTGTTAGCTACATATGTGTAAATACAGAAACTGCCCTGAAAATTAACGCAGTTTGCTAGATATGTCAAATTGCCGCATAGATTATTAATATAAACTGAAGTTGGTACAGTCCATTATATCTGTTACCCACATTTTAACTCTTTGTCCCTTTAGTACATGTAAAAAACGTTCATTGTACGTTTATGATGACCAGTAACAAGTTTTTTTTAAAAAAGTAAAGAAAAATTGCAAGTAAACCAAAAATAAAAACTAAACAAAGGCTCACCCATGAAATCAGTCATTCACAAAGGGTGAAGGTCCTCCTCAATTAATGTATTAACCTTAAATAAGTCCATAAAATAAAGGTCTACAGGCATTTTGGCTTTCATTTAAGGGATTTTGCAAGTCATGTTAGATTTAGTTTAATCTTCATTTGTTTATTGTTTGGAGCCTTTAGCATCATTGAGCCAAAATTGAAGTTCAAAGGTAAGTAATTGACCAAATTTAATGTTATAATTAAACAAGCATGCAGAAACTACTATGCTAGCTCAATAATGGTTTTAATGCAAGCTAACAAAAATGGTTGCTGAAATATATATAAATGTAAATTAACTATGTGATTTGGATCATTTAGTATGGTTAAAATGAATGGCGATAGGTGAAGTGAACAGTTCCCTCTAATTTTATAACTCAGTGTAGTGTAAATGTTCTAACATTAGGATAATGACACCTCAAATGTAGCCTCTTGAGGTTGATTGATATTGCTTTTAAGTTAGGGCTGGGTGATATGGAGTAAATCAAATACCACAATATTTTTGAACGAATACCTTGACATCAAGTAATGCGACAGTATTGTACTGTTGACTGTTGGCACTTTCACAAAATTTTTACTCTATGACATTTTTGACAAATTATCAGTAATGTGAATATAATGACTAAGTGGGTAAAGGCAAATAATAGAACAGCTAGAACAGTCTGGAACATTAAAAAAAAGACATCACTTTACTGTAATGCAGTCTTTAAAACCAGGAAAAGACAACACCTGCAGTATTATATCAAAAATCTAAGACAAAAGCTAATCTCATATCACAATATCAATACAATATTGATATACTGCCCAGCTGTGTTACCAGTGTTTGTGCTTAAATTTTATTGTGAGCATGATGACACCAACCTGCCACCAACGACTCAATATCTGCCTGAGACACGTATTTCTGCAGACCTCAGATAGAATTCTGTAATATAATATTTTCAATTTTAAGGCAGTATTTAAGGTCCAGTTTGTAGGATTTAGAGGTATCTATTGCGAGACATTGAATATAATATTTATAACTGTTTTCATTATTCTATAATAACCTGAAACTAAGAGTTGTGTTTTCATTACCTGAGAATGAGATATTTTTATCCACATATGGAGCGTGTCCTCTTCCGTGGAGTCCGCCATGTTGTTCTACAGTAGCCCAGAACAGACAAAGTACTTGCTCTAGTAAGGGCCATTCACGTTTTCCATTCACCCACTTTAGTCCTCCTACACACCTGGCACACAGGAGAAGTTTCAGATGGTTGCAGTCTGCAGCCTCACCGCTGGATACCACATACCAATCCTACACACTAGACCTTTAGGTAGTGAGGCCACATTAATTTGATCAGATTTTTTTGATTACATTTGTTCAGTTACAGACTTTTAGGAACTCACCATTTCTCCCCATTGTTTAGACACTGCAGATACAAATACCTACTGTACTGAACATACAGGTATGTACATACCTGTATGTTCAGTACAGTAGGTATTTGTATCTGCACATACAGGTATATACATACTGTAGGCTGAGCATGCTCTGTAGGAAGTGGAGGGTTTGACTGCCCTTTCGAACAAACAAATATCATCTCTGCACAGCTTAGTTACTGCTGTTACTCAGTATGTAGCCTGCAATGGAAGTTTCAAGTTACCTATTCTGTATTCACACGGTTAGTATTCTCTCTGCACTCTGGCAACAGTAGCCATAGGCTAACACCCAACTCTGGTTAGATAATTACTGTTCATGTATTATGGACACATGGAAACAGACTGCAAGCACAAGCTGGGTGTGAATGTATGTGAAAGTGTGATAGATCTCCACAGGTTTGGGTTCTTTGTCTCATTTGCTTCGTTTTGTTGATTTCTGTTGGCTGGGATCTCACAGTATCTTTCAGGGTGAGCTGCGATGGGGAAGGAGAAGCTTCACATAAACATCGTGGTAATAGGACATGTCGACTCAGGCAAGTCCACCACCACCGGCCACCTCATCTACAAGTGTGGGGGCATTGATAAGAGAACAATCGAGAAGTTTGAGAAGGAAGCTGCTGAGGTATGACTCATATTGTTCCCACTTGAATTCATATGTCTACTGTGTAACTGCACTTTGCAGCGCAGGCGTTCTAGTTCAACTGTATCCTGTTATATTTAACTCTGTATCTTGTCCTGTGTATTTTATGTCCTCTTACTGTACTACAAGGTGGTTGTAATTGGGTGAACTCCTTTTTCATGGTTTTTGAGGCTGTAGCACATTGAAGTTGAAAATACAAAATGGAAAATTTGAATGAAATCAGTAGAATTAATTAGTAATTACTATTGAGAAGTACTGAGATTTATGACTAGCATGTTTTCATTATCCTAGGGGGCTCTCACATCAGCAACCCGGGCCTGCAGCAGAGTACACTTGATCCAAAAGTCTAGTTCAATTGACTAGTGTGACCACTGTGTAGAGTATTTGGGCACAGTGCGCCAATCTGTGCCCCATTCCACTTAAAGGTGGTCTTGAGTACAATTCATGTGCACTCCGGTATGATACGCACCAGGTGTGAACAACAGCCATACCAAAACATAAAAGTGGACAGCTATTTCACAAAAGGAGTTTTTAACTGGTTATGAAACAGTCTCAAATTAATACTGATGCCTCTATATCAGACGACAGCGCAGCTTACTGTGGACGAACCCATGTCCAGCTTTGCCTTTGACCTTAAGTCAGAAGTCTGGGGAGGGGCGGAGAGCTCTGTGCTCGACAGCAGCAGCCCCCTCTGGCCAGGAGCAGAGCCTCGCCTCTCTGCTTCACCAGTCCACGCTGATGACAGTCCCCAGAGCAGCACTGACTGTCTGCAGCATCCTTTTATACACTCTAGCACACGAAAATGTCAGTGTAGATGATGATGCAAGTGAACTTGGACACAGA